AGATCAGACGGAAAGTTGCTTTAAAAAATAATTTCGGATCTGGCGAATTGTCGCAGCTGTCGCCTATAACCGGCGGGGTTGACGACTCCTAAAGTGGAGATCACGTTCGGGAAGCGTTGCAACTTGACACCCTCCGTTCGGTTGACCGACCATCTGAAGAGGGTGAAACGACCAAGTGTTGGTCCTCTCCACTACACCTAAATACAAGACTTCTAATAGATAATGACTTCATACAAAAACGTCTAAGAATCAATGTTAAATCGCTTAAGTGAGTTATTATTTCCTATTTCGGAAATATCGTACTCGCTTTTTACGATTATTAGGTGCCATAAACGGGTTTCTTTACGACGCCAGTATAGGAGCCCTTATTGATTTCAATACTGTTCCATTGAACTCACCCACGACGAACCGCAATAAAAATTGCAGCGTTCGACACCGGGAATTGTAAATTGGAAACAATGTTAAGCGATTTGCAGTTAATAATGTATTAGTTTACAGGTGGTAGGACCTCATGTATACTGGTGGTAGGACCTCTTGTGAGTCCGCGCGGGTAGGTACCACCACCCTGCCTATTTCTGCCGTGAAGCAGTAATGCGTTTCGGTTTGAAGGGTGGGGCAGCCGTTGTAACTATAGTGAGATCTTAGAACGTATATCTCAAGGTGGGTGGCGCATTTACGTTGTAGATGTATATGGGCTCCAGTAACCACTTAACACCAGGTGGGCTGTGAGCTCGTCCACCCATCTAAGGAATAAAAAAATAAAAAAAACGTGTGTCACTCGGAGACTGCCGCGGTAAAGCTATTGCATAGCATTTTTTATCAACTTATGAATGAACTGATAAATCGACAATAATAATTTAATATTAAAACAACAATAAAATAAGATCCGGCGAGAAACTCAGTGGGCTAACTTTCGATGAATCTGCTACATTGTGAATATTCCATTTTGACCGCGCACTCACCAGAGGGCGCTACATGGGATAGAGGCACGCCTTTGGATGCTAGTTCTAACTCTCATTCGCCCAGAATCAACGGTTTAGCTAGTTTATTTTTAATGCCACTCCAATCACTAAATGAGTAGTAGGAGTACTAATAAAATTCTTCGAATAAGCGATAGAAAATGGCACACCCAACGCATTGTAATGTGATATAAATTTCTATTTTACAATTCCGTTTGTCGCCGATAGATGGCGCTTGACAAAAAGTTGAATCGCGCTATCGTTGTGTTACCCACGAAATTTTAACACATATTTTGATAGTACATAAATTGGTGCCTAGACTTCTTACTTTAAACACTACACAAGCGTAACGTGTGAATGTGTTGAACGCGAGCTACATAGTAGGCGTAGTGAGGGGTGGAAGGTTTTTTTCGTTACGGAATTTCATGATTCCGCTCTAAAGCCGCGCTCAAGGCCCGCGATAAAATCTATGAAATAGTGTTAAAAAAAAAAAAAAAAAAAAAAAAAAAAAAAAAAAAAAAAAAAAAAAAAAAAAAAAAAAACAATATGGAGGAGAGCAGCAGCCGCCCCCGGAAGAAGAAGGGAAGAAAGGAAGAAAGGAAGAAAGAAGAAGGAAGAAAGAAGATGAAGAAGTGAAGACAGAAATCGTCCCACCACTCACCTCGAGCCTGTGTACAGTCCATCCCGCAGTGTAATCCCGCAGTAATAGGCGGGGAGCTACAAGTCCGGGTAGAGGGGTTTCCCCGAGGCCCGCTCCGCGCCCCCGCAAGGGGACGCGACGACCCCACGACGACGCGACTTCCACGATGAAGGAATCACATCGTGTAATAAAAATCAAACCCGCAAAATTGTAATTTGCGTAATTACTGGTGGTAGGACCTCTTGTAAGTCCGCGCGGATAGGTACCACCACCCTGCCTATTTCTGCCGTGAAGCAGTAATGCGTTTCGGTTTGAAGGGTGGGGCAACCGTTGTAACTATACTGAGATCCTTGGAACTTATATCTCAAGGTGGGTGGCGCATTTGCGTTGTGGATGTCTACCAGTAACCACTTGACACAAGGTGAGCTGTGAGCTCGTCCACCCACCTAAGCAATAAAAAAAAAAGTACTTTCAGTATTTCAATAGATGTTCACCTTTCTTTAATATCTTATAGTATATATATTATTATATAGTATCTTTTCCTTTGTATATTTAATAAAAATTGCACTTTAATAGTATTATTTTTAAATAAAGTTTAAATAAATTGAAAGTAGCGGAAACAATACCTTACTTGGAAAAATCTAGCGGCATTTTTAATTTTGATCTGACTATTTATTCAATAATATTACTCCACATTGACACATAAAATGCGACTGTATCATGTTTATATAAAATGCAAAAATAAACAATTGTCCAAATATCCATATAAGTTTAAAATTAGTTTCACAAATATATCTTAATCTACAGAATCTTCCTATGATAACTATGATAACTTATGATAAATATCAAAACAATTATAATCTTTTTACTGTAATCCCACAATGTAATAAAATTATGTGGTACATTGAGTCCTTCACTGAAAATTATAATTATTTTGCTACGCTGCACCCACACTGCCTAATAGGCAAATAACATGATTTATTAAAGAAACAATTGTGGATCTCAAAAATGGTTATTTAAGATTCTTTACTAAATGATTACAGAATTAAAATCTAGAAATGAATAATGAATTTTTTTCTTGTTTTTGTGATTCGAGAGAGATTAAAATTAAACATTTTTAATGACTGCTGCGAGTATTCACAATTGACGTCATGAATCAATTACATAAATTAGCAAAAATAGCTTTTGGGATGTGAATTATATAAAAACGATCGCTTCTTTTTTTTAGTCACGCGCATAGGATTGTGTGCATTATCATACTAGACATAGTATTAGTAAAATGTTTGTGTACCGGGCTATTAATAGGTGCAATGAGACCTCCTCTGTTTGTGACAGAAAAAGATCTGGCCGGCCACGTAGTGTTCGTACGAAAAAGGTGGTCAAAGCAGTAAGGGAAAGAATTCGAAGAAATCCTGTCCGAAAGCAAAAGATTTTATCTCTGGAGATGAAGATATCACCTAGAACCATGTCGCGTATTTTAAAATATGACTTAGGACTTGCAGCCTATAGGAGACGTACTGGTCATTTCTTAACTGATAATTTAAAAGAGAATAGGGTGGTAAAATCGAAACAACTTCTGAAGTGGTACGCAAAGGGAGGTCATAGAAAATTTTTGTTTACGGATGAGATTTTTTTTACAATTGAGCAACATTTTAACAAACAAAATGACCGTATTTATGCTCAAAGCTCTAAGGAAGCTTCCCAATTAGTCGACAGAGTGCAACGTGGGCACTATCCGACTTCAGTGATGGTTTGGTGGGGTATTAGCTATGAAGGAGTGACTGAGCCATACTTTTGTGAAAAAGGTATCAAAACATCGGCACAAGTGTATCAANATTGCTTTTGACTATTTTGTATTATTGTGTTTGAACTTGCTACCGCTTTATCTGTGCCTTCTGTACTCCGTAATTTCTCCTTCTTAACATTGCTATACTATCTGTGATTGGAAATAAACTGTCCATCCAATTACGGACTCGTTATTGTGCCGCCCGGCACTGGTGACCTTACCACCACCATCAACAACGACAACCAAACTGGTGACCCCTACCAAAGTCGAGCTTTATTTATTTATATTATTTAGGAGGAACAAGTGAAAAAAACTAATTACAAATTTAACATCTGTTATTTTATAACTCATTCTTAACTTTTGCGGAACTTCCTTCCATTGTTTTTGTATTGTTTTCTCGTCAATATTGAACCTATTCTATTTCGTGAAACTAAATAACGTTGTTATTTTATCGCATTCTTTTCGTATGGACGCTTGCGCCTGTGTACCGTCCTGTTTGTCGGACTTACTCAGTTTATCGTTAATCAATTGCGAAGGAAAGTTCTGTTCTGCATCATGTCAAAACGGAAAATTAAAGTACTGTCATTAAATGATAAACTTAAAATAGTGAATGCGTTTGAATCCGGAAAATCGCGAAATGAAATTCAGATGGAGCATTAGCGAGAAACTCGGGTTAGTGAGAAACCTCTTTAAGCGAGAATGAGATTGTGCTCCCTTAAACTCTCGCTTATCCAGGTTTGACTGTACTTCATTTTGATCAAAAATTTTATCAATCTCACTTACCTTGGATCAATATTCTGCAATTTTAAAGTTTCTGCATCTGAGAACTGAGTCTGTAGTTCTGTGTGTTTGTCAGTAATTTTTTCTTTTATAATATCAGCTAGAGTTCTAACTCTTTCTGTTTTAGATGATTTGAACAATTTGAGTGCTTCTTCATCTGCTTCGTTGATTTCAATGTTATCATAGTATGTGTCAGGTTCCAAGTCATCCTTCTCTGAATCTGAACTATCTGATCCTTTATCTAACAAATAATATCTTTAGTTATTTTTCAACAAGTGGAATTACTAACTATCAAATCTAAATAGCAGTTGAAAATAATTTCAGTTCATTCACAAGGTACATTTGAGAAATTAATTGCATTATAACAAAAATGACTGTTCACTATTTGTTTACTTCTACTGTACATGTACACTGTCATAGAATGTTTTACACACGTCCTTACGGATCCATCAGATCCAATAACCTTAGCATTAGATGCCTTCAGCTCTAACACTAGGAACAGGCTAGGCGACCCTGGTAACTGTACTCGTCAAATTCAACAAAGAAGTCGACGTCCAACCTAAGCCATGCATCAGCCTGCTGAGTTTCTCACCGGATCTTCTCAGCGGGTCGCGATTCCAATCCGGTTGTAGATTCATTCGCGAAGTAGTTGCTCTTGAGTTGTTAGGTCTCCTTTGGAGGGGCTTGGGCAGCTGTTAGCAAATCCCACCCCTCCTGGTTGAGCCTTTGCTCACCCACCTGTCCTGGTGAAACTGGAAAGGCCTCCAGGCCACCAGTAATTCTATCATCATAAAAAAAAAGAATGTTTTACCTTTAAAGCTTGACACAAGAGTGACATGTTTTGCTGGAGACGGACCAATCTCATTGTCTTCTAGTTCAGCTTGTTGCCTTCTAGCAGTTTTTAAAATTTTTTTAGACAAATCTGCTTTTACAAACTGAAAAAAAATATAAAATCGATTATTGTGGACATTATCTGCCATCTGCCTATTTTTGATTCCTAATGCCTACATTACCACCCTGCCTATTTCTGCCGTGAAGCAGTAATGCGTTTTGGTTTGAAGGGCAGGGCAGCCTTTGTACTGTTAAAAGTGAGACCTTAAAGCTCATGTCTCAAGGTGGGTGGCGGCATTTACGTTGTGTCTATGGGCTCCGGTAACCACTTAACACCAGGCGGGCAGTGACATGTCCAACAATCTAAGCAATAACAAAATAAATAAATAAAACATTATACTTAAATAGGTTACAGAAATAATTTAAAGTAGTATGCATAATTTACCTCATCGTCTTCATCGTGCCTATTTCTATCTTTGGTCCTATTTTTAATTTTGACTGAATTTCCAGATTCAATTTGATCAGCAAGAGCTAAATTTTTTCCCACTTGTGAGGGCTTCAACTTTTTAACTTTACCCATATTAGTTTCAACTAAATGGTCAGTAAGGAAACTTTTAACAAACACCACAGTTTTCTTAATACTACATACAAAAACCGTTCCTGCGGAACATAAATTGTAAACGTTATCAAAGATTTACCATGTGCTGTTGTTTTTTTAGTTAGAAAATGTCATAAATTTTTGCAGCTGAAAATAATGACATTGTCAATGTCTTCGAGTTACGGGAACATAGCCTATACAACCTACATAGCCTATACAGCCTAATCTTTTGTTTGTCACTAAATTTACTGAGAATTATATAAAATCCACGGCTTTATATTGAAAGTTTTACATTAATGAAAATTTTGAAAAACTATGATTTAAATTTAAAGCATAAAAGACAAAAAACTAACCATAAAGTTAGAAAATAATGGCGGGCGTCCAAAATACCTACAGAGATACTATGATCAACTATAAATTACTATACCTAAAAAAACCTAATAATACACGCTGTAGCCAAATAAAAAATTCATACATACGTTTTTTGAAGTTATACTTCTTTAGGCGCGCGCACCGTGACACAAAATTAACAGAATGAAGTTGCCCACTAAATCGCTCACTACAATACGACTGACGTAGCTTCGCGAGTCTGAAAATAGCCGCAGGTGAACTTTCGCGCATGTACACTCGTAAAAAAAAGTGTTATTAGCATTCATTTTTTAGTAATATAAATGAAACAATTATTATTTAATATAATTCATACTAAATATTATTAAATTATTAACGTTAAATATTTGTTATTAATTATATAATATTAAAAAAATAAAATAATAATAATAAAAATAAAGTATAACTTCTTACGCGCGTACATAAGTACACGCACCCTTTTTTGTTTAATACGCTTTTATTAGCTTCAGACGTTACATACGTCTGAAGTTAATAAAAGATAGTTTGTAACGGAATCTTTGAACATGATTTTGACCCCCTTCAAAACGTCGGATTAACTTGAAATTTGATATACCGAAAAATGGGGTTATTGGGGTTTGAGAGGTGAATGGGGAAAAAGCAGGAAAATCTTTCGACGCTAAATACTAGTTTTTTAATCGTTGCAAAATCTTCCATTTTTTGTAGTGTAATAAAAGTTCACAAAACAACTCTGAATATGCATGATAATAGCTGCTATCTTATTCTTCTTGTTGTGGTAATTATTTTAGTGCTAGACTTTACTCTCTTTTATTTATTTGATAATAATAGAAGACGACTGTGATTTATAAACGTTATTTAGTGTTTGAACCATCATATTGTATTAAAAGTAAGTCTCAATTGTTATTGGTTTTAATGTTTTTTGATAATATAAAAAAACATGTAAAATCTGTTGTTTTTGGGGACGTCTCAGGTACAAATAACAACGAGAAATGGGCAATTGGGATGAGAATAAGTTAAATGGGAACGACCTAAGTATAAATAGGTACAGGCGTGTAGGGTTGTCTATGTAGTTATAACAATATTTTTTAAATGTTGGTAAGAATCTGGTTTATTCATGATGTTTTTGTCTAGAACTTTTATTCAAAATTATCAATGCAGTGTTATTTTATTGTTTGGCAAATATTTATATTATCAGTTACGTATTGTTTTCTATTTTTAAATATGCCTCGCGTGTACGTATAAAAGAGTGCAAAGCCTTATAAGATAAATGATCCCTTAATATTAAAAACAGCATTATAAGCCTATGAAATTGGGAATAAGTCTTTAGTTGAAATAGCTAAGCAATTTAACATAAGTAACTCGGCTTTGCACAGACATGTAACAACAACAATGAAATCTCAAAGTGGAGAAAAATGTCGAAGTAATACATAATAAAATATATTAATATTTGTCATAGTGGGGGTCCACCTGATTAATCCATGGAATAACCGAGACACCTAATCTCTTAACCCAGATAAAAATATCAGCCCCTAAGTACTACCAAGAACGAAGTAATATAAACCGTTTATAAGAAAGCCCGCCTGTTCGAATTTAGACCAGGTGCTTACTCTCCCTTAAACAGAATCCTTTGGGACTACATTAATGTGCACGGTAGCGCGGTGTCCGTCAATGTTCATTCGGAGTTGTTCGATTGCGCTGAACTAATTTTAGGTGATGAAATACATATTTTCTAATTGTCTCACAACTTACAAGAAAAATCTATCGCTGATAAATTTCCCAAGTAAAATTAATCATAAGTAATTAAATGTAATCAAGTTTTACTTATATATTCTTTTTTATTTTTGTTGTCAATGCACTGTCGATTGCACCTATAATTGAGGTGACATCTGCCATGTACTTTTGTCAGGTTTTTCAATGTTTTTTATTGATGAACACTTTGTTGGTGCAACTAAATAAATAAATAAATTAAAACCAAGTACTGCCAGCCCTAGCAAATTTCTCTATTAATACTAATTTCGTCTCCATTAACCGCAATTGCCTGGTAAATAGGGATAACACCTATTTTTGCTTTTTTTGCTTAAACTGGAATACTAATTGCATAGCTTGAAATTGGATAACAAAGATACCCCCAAGACTCAATCATTTTGATCCTGATATAGCATTTTAAACATCAACAACTACCTTAAAATTGTTCATCAAGTTGGAATTTGTCCCTAATCATTCCGTTTTACCGGTACTTATTAAGGACCGATGACCATTCAATATAAAAATATATATAAAAAAAAAAATTTCAAGAATTGAAATTCAACTAAAAAATGAAAGATAAATAATAGTTTAAAAAAACTAACAAAATACGCTTTTATATAAAATCCAACTAAAAAATAGAAAATAAATTTTAATAAATTTTAATCAAAAATAGTGTAAGAAAAAATTATTTTACTGTAAAAAAGCGTGGGCTGCATGGTATCAGTAGTTATAAATATTTTATGAACAGATATGAGTAGAAGGGTTATTTTGAAAATATTCTGAAAAGCTACCCTCTTAGTTACCAGGTCATAAAATCCGTTAAAAAATAAAAATCATTAGATCGGAGACACCTCTACTCTAGGGTTTTTAACAGCTACCCAGTATCTTTTGATGAGTTGAAGGAGCGAATTCGCGAAGATAATAGTAAGAGATAGGTAATTCTCAAAACACATGTAAAGCTGTCATTAAAATCTTTCGCTCTAAGTTACAGGAGTGTCAAAATAATCAATAGCCTCATTAGGATGGTGTATCTAATTTAAAAAATATATCAAATTTTATATAATAAATGTTTAAAATGTATAATACTGGTGCTCCATCCTAATGTTAGATTAATATATTTCATTTAATAAATAAATAAATTATATCAGGAATATTGACATAGTAAACTCCATCTTACGGTTTTTTTGAAACAAGGATGATCCTCTACTATTTTACCTTTATTGTTTCGCCTTTTAATAAAATAGATTATTTATTCAAATCATAGGGAATACGAGCATTTTGGCCAACTACAATCTTGAGTCATGTTACAAGTCTGATGGCTTATACCGGTCACTCACATTCATGCACGCATGCACATTGCGCACGAATACGCAAACCCACAAGTGTAAGACGACATTTGCAAATGATTATGCAAAGTTTTCGCTGCATTCGTGGTTTTCAAGCTGTGTCGGTTTTTTAACGGACATCAAAGCGCGCGAACCGCAATCCTTCGCGTAGTCTCCCACACATTCGTGTGACCAGTTGTGCCCACGATTGCGAAGGTAACGGACGTTTCGCCATTTTCATAGTTCGTGACGATTACTGTGTAGCGTACCTTTATCATGGATTAGAACAACACCAAGGTGATGGAGTTCATTGAACTCCTGCAAAATGAATCGACCATATGGGACCCTCAAAAGAAATCCCATAAAAACAAAATGGCCGTTAATGACACCTGGGAAAGAATTAAAAACTCTTTTTCTCTTCAATGTTCTATTGACGAATTAAAAAAGAAGAGAAATTCGTGAGACATTCGTAAACAAGTGTAGGTGGAAGCGCAAACGGGTTCGCAAATTGAGTACCGAACCCATTTGCACAGCCGCTAAGTTTGCGAATGAATGTCTGACAGCCCTTCACATGCGCGCGAACGTTTGTACAATATACGAATGTTTGCGCACATGTGAGTGGCCGGCATTAGTTTCGGAATGGATAAAGTAAAAAAATATATATCTTGTCTGTATGATTTATTTTCAGCATTTAATTATTTCAAAGACTCCTATTTGAATCACATTAATCAATTGTTCAATGCTTCGAGATCGCGGATTACTTGTTTCAAGTTGACATTGACTTCAGCAATAGCGGAACCAGCAATGCTTTTAACAGTGGTTTCAACGAATCCCATGATGACATTATCGAAAAGACGCACGAACACATTTGCCAAAGGAGTCACCAACCAATCGTAGAGAATGTTTCCAGAAAGGCTCACTCGAATAACACTGAAAAAAAAACGAAAGCTTAATTTATTTTTTCAGATCTCTTTTCTTATTCTTTCAGATTTTCATTTCAGATTTTTATTAAGTACATACTTAATAAAAATCTGAAATGTTATTGCAAAGGTCACTGGCAGACGGCCCTCATGAGAATGCAGATTTCACCCATAAATTCGATTTTGTTGCTTTAAAGTGGATGCCACGCACATCTTTAAACAATATTACTTTACTATTTAATATAACTAAAGGGATTACTAACCTACTTAATCTTAGAAATCAACAGTTCTACCACCTGTCTTAAGTTAAAAGAAATCTGCGCACAAGTGCTTTAATTCAATATTTTAATAATAATCAACTAAAACTGGTATGTAAGTAGTAGTAAAAGCAAAATGAAATAAAAGTACAAATCAAACTATTACGAACCCAACGTCAGTTAGATAAAGCTCTTGAAGATGAATCTCATCGTTGTTGAAGTCGATGATGAGATCAACATTTATCACGAATTGAGACAAAGAACCCCTGATGCGACCAGTAGGTCCGATGTTCATTACTTTCACGCGATAATCGAAATCGAACTGGAAGAAATGGTGATGATATCGTATTAATTTACATTCAATTATTGTTCAGAAAACAAACTCATGATTAAGAAATATAAACACCAATAGGTCATTATATTCAATTTTGTAAACAATACCATACCTCAAGATCGGTAAATTTAAATTTGGCCTGGGCACGCAACATCTTTGCGAAGTAATGCACCAACTGATCTCCTGAACGAGCCACGTTTACTAAGCCGCTCATTTTGCCATTAGTAAGACCCAAACTCGCTCTATAGGTAATAAGGACTGGTCTCTGAAAATAAGAACAGTAAGAATAAGAACAGAACAGAAAAAAAATACGCCTGCCTTTGGGATTTAAATACAGGCAGATTCGTATTGTTCGATATCAGTACAGCAAGCGTCGTAACTTTTAGGTCACGGCAACTTCATTGTTCTATTTTTCAATTTCTTTTTTTTCTACCTGTGCTGGTAGCCTCGATGGATTATCTTAGCTTCACCGAACGTGTAGGCTCATGAGGCTCAGCCTGGCGTCTCTGTTAATACTAGCCCCAGTAAGGGCTATGTTCGCTAAATCTACCACTGGATCGGATTCGAGACTCACTGAGAAGATTCGGCGAGAAACTCGTTGAGAATGCCAAAAAGCACCGATGGGGATCGAGAGGATCCGAAATGTCGTGTTTATGTTTCAAAGCCCAATGCATTATGGCAGAAATGATCTGAAAGGTGGCACCTACTTAGGCGTACTTACAGATTATTCGTAAAAGCTTCATTATTGCCTTTAAACCTTTATCGGCTCGTAGAAGAAGTCAATATATTAGTTAAAGAGAATAAGTCCTAAAGATCTGAGTATGCTTGATCGTATGTTTTTTTCCGACATACAAAGCACAGAAGAAATTCCCAGCTTGAGGCCATCGAATATGTAACGATTTATGATGTACTAAACGTGTCCCAAGACTATTTACTCGCATTATTATTTGTTACTCAAATAGAATGAAATACATAAACCTTTCCCCGGGATAAGAATTGGCTTCTGCGGAGGAACTTCGTTTCTCTTTGTATTTTGTACCGTATGTTCCATGGGGAGTTCTCTGAGGAATTATTTGAAATGATCCCATCATCTCGTTTTTACCATCGCACCGCCCGCCACCGAAGTAGAGTTCATCCATATTACTTAGAACCACTGCGCTCATCAACAATGCGCTTCCAGAGATCTTTTTTGTCATGTACCATCCGGCTTTGGAATGAGCTCCCCTCTACAGTGTTTCCCGAGCGCTATGGCGTGTCTTTCTTCAAACGAGGCTTATGCAGAGTACTTTACGGTAGGCAGCAGGCTGTTTCTGAGCCTGACATTGCTTATGTCCATGGGCGACTGTAACCACTCACCATCAGGTGGGCCGTATGCCCGTCTGCCTACATGGGCAAAAAAACTGTCAGGTCAAAAGTTCATTATCGATTACCATGATAATTATTGTAATACGATATAAAAAAATCCATACTGGATAGGATTTACGTCAAATCAGTTCTTACTGAACGCCTAAATCACAAAAGGATCTGTACCAAATATTAAGACTCTCGTACTCGTAATTTCGGAGATCTCATGACGAACGACTGGTATTTCGTGTTTACATATAATATTTGAAGTTACTTACTTACGTTACTACATTTTATGTATATGTTATCATACGACAATGTTCTAATAAAAATCTTATAATTGTATACTAACAACTTCAAAAGTCTCTTCGATGTCGGGAATACTTAAAGGATCAAGGTCATGTTTTATCATGAACGGAACCAATGTATCAATCATGCTGTCGACGTATACGTTGATATCTGCTGTTAGACCAAGGCCTTCCCAGTTACGAGTGCTAAACAAAAAAAACAATTATTGCATAAATTTCACCGGCCACTCCTACTGCAGCATCATGTAGCAAAATAAATGATATATAGAGTTTTTAACTAGACGTAACAACGTGAATACCACTACCATATTGATATGAGGCCCATAATTGGATTATTATCATATCTATGCCATCCTTCAAAACGATTAATATTCCCGCTACCTTGCCTTATACCATACCATTGGTGACTGCCAGAAAGTTTGAGAGCCGGCAGCTGTGCCAGCATACAAATGTGCATCATTCGACTTCCTTACCAGTTTTTCCCACCAGTTAAGCCCCACGGGCTTCTATTCCATTCATAACAACATAGTAAAACCCTTGTTATTTCGACATTTGTATTGAGGACCATTTTACTCTGAGACTACTGGTGCTAGGACCTCTTGTGAGTCCGCACGGGTAAGTACCACCGCACTGCCCATTTCTGCCGTGAAGCAGTAATACGTTTCGGTTTGAAGAGTGGGGCAGCTCTTGTAACTATACTTGAGACCTTAGAACTTATATCTCAAGGTGGGTGGCGCGTTTACGTCGTAGATGTCTATGAGCTCCAGTAACCACTTAACACCAGGTCGGCTGTGAGCAATAAAAAAAATTATATATATCTGATGATAGACATTTAAGTAATATTGTCACTATGAACTATTTATTTTTGGAAAACAAAAAATATAAATTACATTGTCTGCTACTCCAGTTAGCAGGCATCTATAATTTAAAATTAGATAATCACTATCACAACGTCGAAGTCTCAATTATATTGTAAGTACAATGACTATCCGACTTCAAACCGAAGTTCATGACTTCTTCGCGGCAGAAATATGCAGATTAGTGCTTGCTACCCGTGAATGGGCTAACAAAGGTATCGTATGCTAACTAACATCAACTCACGCATTTCATAATGAACAATAGCGGTAATTAAGACATTTTATCCTATTATCTCTTCTACTTATATTTCCAGTACCTTTACGATAGTCGGTATTTTTCTTGATTAGATTTCTTATGATTACTTTCTAATTTTAAATGAATTAAGTACTTGATCATGGAAGTTTTTAATAATTTATACCCGAAATGTTACGAAAACAAAAATATCTATCTATCTAATCATAATCAAAATCACCTTCACTATTAAGCAATGTAAAAGACAACCGATGTTGATGTTTCGATTAGAAATAATATTTAGATAAAAACAACCGTATCTTATCCGCAGTTTGATCTAGTTAAATTATTTTATGCTCAAATATTCAACGTTATTAAATAATCAGCATAAATATTCCTATAGATCCTATCAAACAATGATATTATTACAATAAAAGTTTATTAATTCAGAAAGTATACATAAAATATATTAGTTTAAATTTCACTACAAAAATTTTTGTGTGTTCAATCGATAGTTTACGTATTGTTAGTTGGATTATTTTAAATTGATGTGTGACGAAAAGTTACAAAATACCCTGATGAAACTATGGTTTACTGGTGGTAGAATCTATTGTGAGTCCGCGCGGGTAGGTACCACCACCCTGCCCATTTCTGCCGTGAAGCAGTAATGCGTTTCGGTTTGAAGGGTGGCGCATTTACGTTGTGGATGTCTATGGGCTCCAGTAACCACTTAACACCAGGTGGGCTGTGAGCTCGTCCACCCATCTAAGCAATATAAAAAAAAAACAAAAAAAAACTTAAATATCTCATGTAGTAGCTAAAAGTTTAATAAAGTAAGCCGGGGAAAGTTGTTCCTTACTCCTTACTTGTTACTCATATACAAATCCCTTTTTTTTTCGGGGACTGGGGTCAAACCTCCTATGAGGTCCCCGCGCCTAAGGGGCGCCCGGGGTATGTGGGACTTGACGATCTGTAGATATTGGGAACAGACCGCGAGCTCAAGGATATTTTTAGGGCCCTACCGCACTAAGCGACTAAAATGCTTATATTTAAAAAACTGCAAGTACTTCTTTTTTTTAATTTTCAATTAAAATTTTAGTTTAATTATCTTGTGAACATAAAAAAAATATTGTTGAATAGTTCAAAATCTAAAAATCGTTTCGTGAAATATATTCAATGTTTACATTTTAATGATTTACTAATATTTTATTACTAATTAACAAGCATGTACCTATTGGACATATAGCTACTATGCTTGTTACTAAGCGATTGGTTCAGAGGGTTCTACATTTAGAACCCACTGAATCAATTGCCTATACCCTCATAATTATGAGAATAAATTAATTTAATGAACATATGAAAGCTGATATGAGACGATTTCTTAACCCAATAACCCTTCTTCTGCATGATGTATTTGACTCTACACTATGTTATTTCAATAAATTAGAAATGAATATAACTTAGAAGGATTTAACTTACACGGCATTCCTGGCTTGAGAATGGAATTGGCTCTGGGCAACAAAATCATGGCCCTCTGTTGCAACCAACAGCGCCAGTATTAGAACAGCCGAATACTTGTACATGTTTCTTGTAACACCAACAATATTCTACTTTGATTAATGGCTAATATTATTAATTTATACAACCCCACGCCGTGAGATTAATTGATAGAACTACCATTATCAATTTCGATATATCTTATAAAAATCAGTAAAATCTGATACGAAAACGTTTAGATTTAGATAAAAATCATAATTGATGTGTTTTGCGCAAGCAGGTATTTTTCTGTTGTTAACAGTCATTGTATTACTCAAAATGTTTTTTAAAGTTGATGATAAGCCAAATAGTTATATATTATATATAGATATAAAATAGAATAGTTGTAAATATAGGTAGATACATTTTAATTGACAAAACCTAACGGTTCGATGCAAAATATATTTAATGCTATGATACATAAAATATCATCATAAAATTATATCACTTATAGCCAAAATCGAAATGCACGATTGATTCGCAACAGAAATACCCGGTGGCACTATTAGTTAGGGATCACAATATGTTCTAACCACAGTAAAATCACTGGAGGTATGCCATCACCATCTCCGTCCATGTCAATCATCGTCTAACTATTTCTGCTCTGAGGCAGTCATGCGTTCTAGTTTAATAACAATTATAGTTTCAGAGAGAGAGAGAGAGAGAGAGAGAGAGAAAGAATATGCTTTATTGTACACTTCGATCAACATACTATTGTTGATCGAAGATTGTACACGAAAATAAACAAAAATGCACAAGAAACAAATGCAAACCATTAATTACAAAAAAGTACAATGGGCGGTCTTATCGTTATGAGCGATTTCTTCCAGACAACCATCAGGTGGACAAAACTCACTTCAGGAAATAGATTAACCGCGGTGTACTTTGAGGTTAAAAAAATATATACTTATGAATATACACATAAATATGAACAATAAGTATCATGATAATTTTACTACTGCTTTACACATTACAAAAATGAAAAACAATTTATGTAAATACCTTCTTTTTTTTTGGTCAGGAGGATATCGCCGGACTTCCGCCCTTTAATGGGGATGGCGGGCGGGGTATGTCAGAGTCGAACTGACTAAAACCTCCTGTCGCTCAACAACCAACGTCCAAACCTCGCATGAGACAGAACTTATGAAAAGGCAAAGGGGGGAAAGTGACGCGTTTAGTGCGGAGCACATTCTGTCCCATCACCCTCCCCCTCGGGACGCCGGACGTGGTCGTCGGCGCCACGACTTCCAGTCCTCTCGGTCGGCAGGCTGTCCGAAGCCCGCCTAGATGGCGCCGGTTAGAATGAGTTACCCTACGGAATACCCCGCTGGGCCAGAACCAGCGTGGGTCGAGGATAGCCGACCTTCCATCACCCGGATGCTTTTGCGCAAAACGCGTACAAAGCAGCTTGCACGTCTTCTTAGACTCCCCTCGCCGGTCCCCAGACCGACATGTGAGGGGGACCCGAAACACTTAGAGGGCCAGGTCTTGGGCGAGATCCGCCTCCGTGGCCCCCGCTCGACAACGGCGGGATTGTGCGTCTCTCATGCGCCCCGCCGCCTCCTTCTGCGAGATAGTGCACTCGCAGAAGTCAAGTCTTATGTAAATACCTATGAAAAAAATTTTTTTTTATCCTAACATAAATTAAACAAATTGACAACTAATTGTATCTGCAAATGGGACTTCAATCTCGTGTCTTAGGGTGACTGGCGACATTCATGTTGTTGAAAATGTTCAGTGGCATTCACGTTGTAACATTTGTGATGAATACGAGGGCGGCACTGAAAATTTCGGGAATTAACGAAGTGACACAACATTACTATTTAAAAATGTATTTACTGCTTTTCGAAGTATTCTCCGCGAAATTTGACACATTTTTCCATACGATGGAACCAATCATTGAAGCAACCATTCCATTCGGAAGTTGGGGTCTCCAAAATGGCCGTTTTGTAGGCGTCCACAGCTTCTTCAGGTGATGAAAATCTCTGTCCACGCAATTTATTCTTTATTTTAGGGAAAGTATAGAAATCATTAGGGCTTAGGTCGGGGCTGTACGGCGGATGGTCTAATAATTCTATGTTTTCTTGCTCTAAAAACTCTTTTGTTCTGTGCGCGGTGTGAGAACTCGCATTGTCGTGATGGAGGATGATGCGGCGGTTGCAGTTCTCTTTACGGAGTTCAGAAACGACCTGTGGCAAACAAATGCTAGCATACCATTCTGCATTAACCGTTCTTTGTCCCTCAAGAGGAATAGTCGTAACATGGCCGGTTTTGGAGACAAACGTGGCCACCATTTTTTTTGCAACACTCCGTGAACGAACAATTTTTGTTGGCTTTAACTCATTTTCGAACACCCAAACTCGTGACTGGTTTTTTGTTTCGGGTTCGTACGCGTATATCCAGGATTCGTCACCTGATACAATGTTGTATACAGCATTTGAGGATCCTGCGTGGAATCTTTCGAGAGTTCTGACGCACCAAGTAACGCGAGCCGCTTTTTGCTCTTCACAGAGCGAATGCGGTATCCATCGGGAAAACAACTTTTTTACACCTAATTGTTCATGCAAGATTATTTGTATTTGACTCATGCCAATGTCTAAAGTTGCCTGAATTTCGCGGTATGTCACATGTCGATCTTCCTCAATCAGCTTACGCACAGCATCAACGTTTTCTTGGGTGACTACAGTTTTTGGACGACCTTGACGGGGATCATCACTGAGCTTGACACGTCCACGTTGAAACTCAGCAAACCAGCAATAAATTGTGGTTTTGGATGGGGCTTCATCACCAAGTGCAGAAACACACTGTTTTTGTGTTAAACCACTTCGAAAGTCATAATAAATCATCGCTCTTGAATTTTCTCGAGTCAATTCCATTTTCTCAACGACTAAACAAGTTTGACAAAACCTCGTGACAAGACCGAGAATCTTTTTCTAAATAAATAAATGGTATTCGATTTTTAAAACCAAGGAGTTTTCAATTAAAAATATTTTAATATGACAGGAACAGTGGAAATATTCCATTCCCGATACTTTTAGTGCAGCTTAGTATCAGTTCGGGTGTCCGCCTAATAACAACTGAACCGTGAGCTACTTAAAATAGTTGTTATTTTTTCGAAAATTCAGAATTATAATTTACGTAATGACTGATAGTAGGACCGCGAAGCAGTAATGCGTTCGGATTGAAAGGTCTGTAAACTATAGAATTGAGATTTAGACCTCGTCTCTCGAGATAGGTGGCATCTTTTGTGTTATGGGTGTCTATGGACTTCGGTAGCCGCAGAGCGGTGAGCTCGTTCACCAGATTATAATAAAATTTAAACAAGAACTCTCAATATGATATTTTAATTCATTATTTTAAAGCTTTCGCTTAAATATCGTTTTAATATTTTTTATTAACAAAAAGGTAAAGCGAAACAGTTTGCTCGGTAGTGGTTTACTTCGTAGCAGTTAATCTATTTTATATTATGGATCGCTGAGGTCGATTTGTATTACGTGATTTTTGTTATTTTACATACATTTATAATATAAGCTGATAACGAACAATGTTATTGTTATTTTACCAAAGAATAGGCGGAACGGAATTAGCAAAACAATTGTGTATTTCTTATCATTTTTTATCTGATCTTTTAAATTAGAAGATAATGTATGTAATTGCTTTTTATTTTTCCAGAAAGATATCCTTGATCTCCTCTGATTGGATATTCAAAGCCGACGATCAAATTAACGGAATGTTAAAATATACAGAAAGCTGCGTCCTACCGGATCTCGTTAATCGGTGTAGGTAGGTAGGTACATCTTTTCGTTAATTAATGTAGATTGCGTAATATGGTTTCTTTTTGTTTATAAAATACTTATTTAGATGTTACATATTTTAACATACTTTTATTGGCTTCCTTTGAGTCTATGTATATAACAGAATATTTGTACTTGTTGTTGTATTAATTCACAACTTAATATTGAAGCTCATCCCTGATTAGAAAAAGAGATTTGAAAAGATTCGAAATGGCTCAAAGAAATTAAAAAAGATTCAACTTAACAAATATATAGATATATATTTTGCATGGATTAATCTTTTTTTTTAATAACGGATCGTATTGAAATAAGGATGCAAAAATCTTGGATTGAAATTAGTAAGTATTTTCAATATATTTAAATTTGTTACTCCTGAGACGCATGCGCATAGTGCTCTCGCGCTCGTACTCCCGGCTGAATAATGTTTTGTGTTTAGCGGAAGTTTGGTCACTCGAATTTGTCTGACTGATGAAATATAACTTTGTAATAGTTACTTGAATAACATATTTAAAAGTCAGACATGAAAAAATAAGTAAAGTTCATTAATTTTTTGTCGAGCTTTAAAGCGTCTGACAAAAGCTCTGGTCCATGAAAAGTGTCTTAAATTTTATATAGGTGTCACAGGGCAAGCTCCACAAGTAGGCAGGTATTTAAAGTATACTAGACGCTACTAAGTCGTGAAGGTTTCATCCATGTGAAAATAAGTTACGTCAGAACGCTCTGGGATCTTGGACTAATATTAAAACCTACCTAAGAATATTGTGACTTCGTTCATGATAAATAATTTAGCAACATCCGTTACTCTTTCCCAAGTCGTAAATAATACAATATTTAATTATTTTTAAAATTAATTTTTAAATTTAAAAAAATACATACATACATATATGTATAATATATTATATAAGATTCAACTTGATATAACTTTTCTTTTTTTTGTCGGATCTTTTCAGGCAAATTATACATAAAACTCAAAAAAAAAGCTAGACAATTTACAAGTTATCAGTTCTAATAAATAAACTCGCACTCGTAGTAAAAAAATAGAACTTCTCTCGCTTACATTCACATGAACTACTTTGAGTTTGCGTATTGTACACACATAATAAGGATGCATAGCTCACAAAACCCCGGTAACCGTATTCATCGAACTCGACAAAAAGTTCGATGTGCAACCTAACCCATGCATCAGCCCGTTGAGTTTCTCGCCGGATCTTCTCAGCGGGTCGCGATTCCGATTCGGTAGTAGATTCATTCGCGAAGCAGCTGCTCTTGAGTTGTTAGGTCTTCTTCGGAGGCGCTCCGGCAGCTGTTAGCAAATCCCACCCCTCCTGCCTAAGTTTTGCTCGCCCACCTGTCCTGATAAAACTGGAAAGGCCTCCGGGCCACCAGTAATATTTCAATCATAAAAAAAAATCACAAAATGTATGTTGTATTGTATTATGTTTGTTTTCAAGTTTTTTTTCACCATACATTTCGCAGTCGATGGGTAAACAAACCCATTATCGGGACGGTGTTAAAACACCCCTCTTCAAATTTGGGGTCCAATTTTCAATTGTATCGACTTTTTTTCTTCTACCTATGCTGATGAGCCTTGAGAGGCTATATCAGCGTTATTCTAGCGTGTACAAGAGCTCAAACCAGGTTTTGCTAACATTAGCCCTAGCAAGAGCAGTTCGGGAGGATCCGAAATGATGTGTTTAGGGCGACTTCGACTGTTTACCATTCTGTCCGCAGAATCGGGTATGTAATTTCCGGCGGCCACGAAAAGAGGGTTTTCGTGTCGTGCCGCCTTTTCAAAGTGGTGCATCATCTAAGTTCACCCTTCAAACTGGAACTTGTGACTGCTGCGCAACAGAGACCGTGGGCTCAAAATACGCCCAACCACATGTAAGTTATTTAAACTTTATTAGAGAGAAGAGTACCGCTGGCAAACTAACGCCATAAGGCATTATTTACCAGTTAACATATCGCGAGGTCAAAGGCTATTTGGGTTAAGCGACATTTATCTTTGTAATTAAAGGTCCCTTTTATTGGGTATTATTATCAACAAATTTGATGTTTTTAATTGAAATTCAACTAAGGTTACCCCATTCAAATAGCTGAAGTTTTTTGTTTGTAATGTATTTACAAATTTTAAACTTTAAATGGCTCTCCTCTAAAGTTGCAATTATGTCGCGCAAATACCCTCCTCGGTAATAATGGCTAAAGAAATAATAAAAATTGATACAGGCTCAATCATTTAATAAATTATCAATATCCATAACCCAAACGTAACAACTTAACGTACAAAAGCGCGCTTAAAACCGTTACCCTCATTAACATTACCCATAAATACCAAGTAAAATAAATGCAATGTAATTTCCTTATCCCGTAGATTTACATAAAATTAAGCAAATATAAAGTGTCTAATGAGATTTTTGTTACATATTTTAAAAAAAAACTGTAATAACATTCGATAAATACCATCTCAGTATCGAGACCGGTGAGGTTATGCTCAGTGTGATCAAGATCAAAGTTAACTCAAAGTTGTAAGGAGTTGGAACAGCGGCCCTTGCGGCAAACGTAGGAGCGTTAACTTTTAACTTTAACGTCAACTTTTACGCGATCGAGAAGATAAAAAACTCGCACGCAAAAGCACAATCGCAAGAGATCACAATTTACACATTGATTTGACATTGTCCACGCCAGTACTTCACGCACAAGCGGGGACTACGAGGTCTGCGGGGGCGTCCAACCACCACCACTGCATCAACGACTCGAGCGGCGAGGGCCGAACACATACAGCGCGACACAAAACGAATGGAATGATATAGAATCGCACGCGCGACTCGCGGCTGATATTATAATTACCTCGATTTTACTGAGCTATCGAACAGACATTCTGTCAAATGTAGCGTGAACATACTTGGGAAGTGAAGAAATTTACTCCTAAACTAAGCTCTTTCTAAATATAGATTCACTTAAAACTGGCATCCATAGGCGTGGCGAAACTAGGTAGATGTTAAATAGTAGCTTTAGTGCATTTTCACGCTTGCGCATTCGTTCACGCTTGCCCGACAAGACTCCGAAATTCGCAATGAAATTATTAATTAATCTGTGAAAGTTTAATTAATCTCTGTAAATTGTAATTTAGCTGTAAACTAGTACCTGACGACAGCTTATTAAAATGTAAATTAAGAGTTTTAAAAACGAAGTTTAAAAATTTATATGTCTCTGCTCTCCTTTTCCTCCAAAATGCTTCTGCTAAACTTTACAAAAATACTTCTTCTTAATTTTAATTTTTTTTTTTTTCTATTTTATCAGCCCACACCATTCCACATTAATAATAATGTTACAAGTTAATTCGATTTCGATTTTTTCTGTTCTTTACCGAGCATTTTTCTTCTTTGTGATAACATATGACCAAACAGTACTGGGAACAATGGGATATACAAGAACATGTAAAAAATTAGAAAATAGTAATAGTTAAACGCGAAATTCCAAGCATTCGGCATTGAGACGGTGAAAAGTTTTTTCTCGAAGATTTCATCCAACGAGTGGTACATGCAGAGCAGCTCTCCAGTAATACCGAGGGGGTACATCACGAGAAACGTGGAATACCTGAAATTTAATATGTTTTTTTATTATACTGTGCGCCTGTACAACAAAATCCCACAAGATGTTCAGAACCTACAACATCTGTGCAATAAAGCTTACTATAAGGTCAATGATTATCTAGAAGATTGCAAAAAATGGGAATGAGTTGCTCGCTCCGGGCATTTCAATATTGCTACGTTATAATGCTCATTGTAAAAATTAATATAAAAAAAAACTAATATTAAAAAAAAAAAGAGAATATGCCCGCTGAGTTTCTTGCCAGTTCTTCTCAGGACGGAGGCTAGCTACTTTCATTTATGTTGAATTTTTTTTTTTGATTTGATTTGATTTGATATTCAAAATCAATTATTAAAAGTAACCCGTTTTATAAATGCAATATGTTAATTTACTGCCAAATGAATTATATTCCTAAGCGACAATCAAATGGAATATTTTTCATACTATTTCGACCTTTATTCCTATGATAATTTATTCTTATCGCCCACCTAGCGCGTAGAGATATTATCAGACATATACGTCGGTGGGGCCGAAATAATTTATAGAGTCCAAGAGTCCGTATAAAATCTATGCACGTTATTATCAAATCAAATCAAATCAAACTTTTTTTTATTCAACGTAAATGATAGTACATACTTGTTGAACGTGAAAAGAACTATTATGTATCTTCACCGCCGATTCGGAACGCAGTTTCAACGAAAATTGGAAAGATCAGAAGTCGAGAAGTATCGACAAGAAACTTGGGGCTTGCTCAATTCCAAATATATGTGCGTCACCCACAAAAATCCTAAATATTATTAAACTGGTACATAAAAGGTTGGAGAAAAAGTCTTTTCGTATTATAGTATGTGTGAACTTGTAATAAAATCTCTTTGGCTAATTTGTATCTGGCTGTTTTGGTATCATTAAAAGTTTAAATTGTAAAGAAGATAATTCCAAATTCAAATTAGGAAAATGTGCGATTTTTATTTATTTTTCGTAGTGTCAAGATGAGTGAATCTAATGAAGAAATTCGATACATTTTAAAATTTTACTACAAAAAATGTAAAAATGCAACGCAAGCCGCGAAAAAAATTTGCGATGTTTATGGACCTAGTGCAGTGTCTGTGATAGTAGCACAAATTTGGTTTAAGCGTTTTCAATACGGAAATTTTGATGTTAAAGATGCACGTCGCTCTGGTCGCCCCATAACGGATAAAATGGATGCCATTTTTGAAAAAGTGGAGCAAGATCGGCATATCAGTAGTTACGACGTAGCTGAATAGCTGGGAATTAACCACAAAACAGTTTTGGCGCATTTGAAAAAACCAGGTACACAAAAAAGCTCGATATTTGGGTACCTCACGAGCTCACTGAAAGAAACCTAATGAACCGTGTTACGACGAACCATTTTTGAAGAAGCTGATAACTGGTGATTAAAAGTGGATCACGTACGAAAAGAACGTGCGAAAAAGGTGGCGGTTAAAGGCCGGTCAGACTTCACAGACTGGCGAAACCCGGGTTAACTCGCAACGAGGTGATGCTGTGTTTGTGGTGGGATTGGAATTTTTGATTCAGGACCATCGATTCTAAGCTCTATTGCAAACAACTGATGAGATTAAAGCAAGAAGTTGAGAGAAAGCGGCCGGAATTAATCAACAGAATGGGTGTGGTTTTCATCAGGATAACGCCAGACCTCACACATATTTAGCTACTCAGCAAAAATTAAGAGAGCTTGGCAGAGAGGTATTAATGCATCCGCCGTATAGTCCTGACCTTACACCTTCAGATTTCCATCGGTTTCGGTCTCTTCAGAATTCTTTAGGCAGTGTCAGGTTAACATCACGAGAGGACTGCCAAAACCAATTGTCGCGGTATTTTGATCAGAAGCCCCAAAATTTCTATAGCAATGGGATCATGTCCCTACCTACAAGATGGCAAAAAGTTATCGTACAAAATGGTACCTTCTACATACTTTAGTTAAATGTAAATAAACTATATTAAAAAATGTTGTGAATTTTCTTAAAAAATGCGAATAAACTTTTTCCCTAACCTATTATAATAAGAATGACTTAAACTAGACAAGGCCAAAAAGATCTGTTAGTGCTATGTGTGGAGTACAAATTCAAAAACTCGCGATTTTGTCATTCATATATTCGCTGACTAGTCTATGACTATAGTTTTCAAATACATACTTTTAATATTAATACTGAAAGTTTCCAAACTTAAATCCAAAGTATTTCTAATCCATGTTTGATGGGTATTTGGCTATCTGAATTGTGGAAAAGTAATAGCTTTGGCCTAACTTTTCTTCTTCTAACTGATACATTGTTTTTTATAAAATAAAATTTCATGGTCATAAAACGAAGTTAGTTTAATGTACATTTTGGTACAACTGTGACTATACCGACATCTTTAAGTACTTAGCGAAATTAATTTCAGGTCTTTTTAGAGTATAAATTGCTTAAAAGATAGCTAGTCTCTATACTAGACAGAGCGCATTATTTATGCATACCCTATTAAAAAAATTTATATATTTTTCATTGCACGTATTGTTTGTAAACGATATCGGTGGCGCAAAAATAAAATTTTAATTGTGTAATAATTACCTCAAAAACGTCAGCGATGAGGGTACAATATCGACCAGATTGAGAGCGTAGTAGGCATATCTTATGATTTCAGTTATCGACCAGGCGAGTATACACAGAGGCAGCCCCGGACTTGTAGTCGCTCCTTGTGTTGCCAGTAAAGCTCCACATACCAGAAACACTCTTGAATACACTTGCATAAGAACTACAAATACACTAGATGGAACTAAGCCTACAGCAGCGTGTAAAATCTGAAAGTAACACAATAATCATTACACAACGATAGTTATTTGTATTCGTTTAGAACTGTGGAAAAAGAGCTTGTGTTATCGATTTAATGTATATTCCGCAAGATATTACTCAATTTAGTGACATGTTAACTATTATTATTCTCTCAGTTAAAATATCGCAGGTGTCTGTGACGAGGTTTGAAAGAAATTTTTATTTTACAACAAAACCTAACCCTATGACTGTTTTGGAACAAATAAGATAGATCATATTATACATAATATCTAAGATGTAACTGCCCAAATGGGATTACAGTAAGCCTTCTATCTGTCAGCAATTACGCCAATTTATTAATTAAGTAAGTTTCATATTTACTACACTATATTGTTGATTAAGAAATATTTCGTGAAAGTTAAGTAAAATAACCTTTTAGTTTCTCATGCCGTTCAACAAGATTAAAATTCATCGACAGATACTGCACCAGCAGGTTTCCGTCTTCGTGCAGGGCTTATGTTCGAGGCATTATTTATACGCAGTTTTTTTTTATGATTGAAGAACTACTGGTGACCCGGAGGCCTTTCCAGTTTCACCAGGACAGGTGGGCGAGCAAAGGCTCAGCCAGGAGGGGTGGGTTTACTAACAGCTGCCCGAGCGCCTCCGAAAGAGACCTAACAACTCAAGAGCAGCTACTTCGCGAATGTATCTACTACCGGATCGGAATCGTGACCCGCTGAGAAGATTCGGCGAGAAACTCAGCGAGCTGATTCGTGGGTTTGGTTGCACGTCGAACTCTTTGTCGAGTTCGACGAGTACCGTTACCGGGGTAATATATGCAGCTTCTAGAACACCGTCACGACCGCCAGCTGTTCAGTGACCGACAGTACGGTCGGTCGTGATTGAAATCACGGTCATTCAGCCACCATATTATGTATCTAACTCACTCAGCCTAACAAGGCTGACCCGAAAGCGAGGCTCTAACTGTGGGTCTTATATCGCAAAGACCTACCGCGAGAGATACTGTCATAAAACACTTCAGTCAAAATTAGCAACTCGTGAATTTATGAATCCCTGAAGAACATGTAGTTACAGCTTTTTGCTGCAGCCTACGACTGTTGGGGTAGATATTTCGAATGGTGTTCAGTATCGAAATCATTTGGAAGGCGTTCAAGTTAACATCGAAGATGTTGGAAATATTCAACGGAATGTCTAAGCAGTACTTCGAGCTTGGAGAAATAGGTCTTTGGCCAAGCTTAGGCTATACAAAGTACAGATCCGATCTCAGATCAATTCCCAAATATCAGCTATTTCATATACTTTTTTATGTTGTTGGGTGACATTCTCGCTAACCACCTGATGTTATATGGTTAAAGAAGCTCATATTCATCACAACGTGAAGGCCGCCACCGACCTGGAAACATTCAGCCTCAAAGTCTCAATTTTATTTGAGTGTAAAGGCGATCCCACCCTACAAAACAGATTGCATGACTGCTTTGCAATAAGTACAATGTGGTTTTGAAATGAACTCCACATCCCAGTATTTCATGAGCAGTATGACATACTCCTCTTCAAACGAGATTTGTCAAACTCTTAAGCCTCAAGTAAGCATTGTGTTTGCCTTTCAAGGTAAAAAAAAAGGTTTAAAAATGTAGAAGTTAAAAATAAAAATATTCATAGGTCGTTCATACACTTGACCTTTAAGCACATTTATATTCAACAGAATGATTTTCCGTTTTGTTTGTAGTATTTGAATTTAAATTAGTATTTCTTGTACTTTTTGTTTTAAATTAAGCAATAGCATTCAAGTTCATTGGTTTACATAAGATTTTCACCTTTTTTATAGGTACCTCGCACACATAAGTATATAAACCCACTGCCACTAATCACCAAATATAAAATATCTAACAATGATAATGAATTGGACTGTGAATTTAGCCCGAGTAACCTGAGAAGCACAGTAATTAAAGTCGACAACAAAGTGGATTTTTCAAAATCTTCATCAGATATGTAGAAGAACTGTACTCAGTGATTAAGTTGTTAATACATGCACACGAAAAGGTTGAATCTGTAAAACTGCAATTTTTACAGTGTACTCATATTATAAACGACAAATAGCAACTAGGAAATGTTTTTGTTTTATATTTCATTCCTAGTGTGAAAGAAAAAACTTACTTTATAATCAGATCTATTGAAGTTTGATACCCTTGCTTGTTAGAAGTCTTAGTAATACACAATATTCCATTATGATCTCTCAGAGACAAGCATTAAAAGGTGATTGAAGAAAATTAGTTATTTGTCAAATTAATGTATTATGGACTATGTTATATATGTATATATGTATATGTATATTGATACTACTGAATAGTAGTATCAATATTAAATATTAAATTTTAATAAGACTTCAGGCATACTGCCTAGATAGATATACACAGTAGATAGAGTGGTATTTACCTGATATGGTTAACTAACCAGCAACCTGTCAGTCTATGTTATGGAAACATTCATGATTTTATAATGATGATGACTTATAGAATAGCACCACTCCAAGTCTTTTCGTGAGTGTCAAAGTAGGCAACTAAGGTAATGGACATGAACTGATCTCCGTATGTTATACCAGCATACTGCAATCTCCAAGTAGAAATCACTGGTAGTAAAGCATATTGTAAGCTTCTATAGGTAAGTACCATCAATCTATCTTTTTCTACTGTAAACAAGTAATGTAATCTGGTTTGAAGAGTTGGACAACACCTTTGAGACTTTGGCCTCATGTCTCAAATCAGGTGGCAGTATTCACATTGTATTGTTTATGGGGTCTAGTACTACCTAACCAGATGAAAAATGACCTTCTAGGCAGTAAAAAGTAAAGTAAAGTAAAAATAACATAATGAATCATGGTCTTAAGGGACCAAGTCAAGTTCTTCATAAGACTGTAAATTGTTGTACTAATAACCATCAAATAATTTCATATTTTTAACTTTTTATGTTTTAAGAGGGGATTTCGGGGGCGATAAATCGATCTAGCTACGATTTATTTTCAGAAAATGTTGTTTTATTCGTGTTTTCAATAATCAACTCTTCCCGACATCTATTGGTGAATAATAATACTATTTTTCTTAATTGAGGGCAACTAACCGCTTTAAAGACACAACAAGATGGCATTATAAAAAAAAACCAAGCAAAGCTCAGTCATCGTCTAGTATTTTTAACTGGATGTCCGACTTGACTTTAAATCTACATTTAAAAAATACCTCTAATACAGCAGCATTTTGAAATATAATGACAGTCCACTTGATCTCACTCCAAAAAGCATCCAAAGTACCACGGTTCAAAAAATGTACTAATGACTGCCATAGCATGTAAGACCATCTGAAAAATAGAATAAGAAACATTTTAGATCAACAAGAAAAAATTATAGATACTGATCTTCATTAACAAATAATAGGTACAGAATCATTTAAAGCGATCACACAATCATAAAGAACTCAAATAAAAACTAGAATAAACTTTATCCTAAAACTATCACTGAATTTAATAAACCTATGTTCTATGTATATACTTTTTCTTGTGTAATTATTATTTTACGAAAAAAAAAAAGCTCTAACTCTATATATTGTGTTTTCTTCGATGAACTTTGCTCTAAATGTACTACATTAGCTTAAAACTTTTTTTTTACAATTTCAGGGCTTATGAAATACTGTAAATGTATTATGTAATGTAATATGAAAAACTGTTAATATTCAGTTTAATTTCTAGGCTTGATTTGCTAAGCATTTTTTTTCTTTTTCCTAAGTTTTGAATATCGATACCTACCCAAGAGTTTGAGCGGCGTTATAGACAAGAAGATAAATCTTTCCAATCGAAAGTCCAGAGGTGTTGCTTTTCATTGCTTTTTTGGACATTGTTTAAATTGATATAAAACTTTATGTTAAAAGATATTTTTCAAACAAAGTCTTTCACTAAGTTTTCACTTCATTGTAAGATGTAAATGCAAATTTCAGAAATTAGCCATACTGGCAAGCATAGATTATACATATTTGACTGCATAGATTACAGTAAAATGGAGCGATTAGGAACAAATTCCAACTTTATGAGCAATTTTAAGGTAGTTGTTGATGTATATAATGCTATATCAAGATCAAAATGATTGAGTCTTGGGAGCATCTTTGTTGTCTAATTTAAAATTATGCAACTAGCATTCCAGTTTAAGCAAAAAATGCAAAAATAGGTGTAATCCCTATTTACCCGAAAATTGCGGTTAATTGGGACGAAATGAGAAATTTGCTAGGGTTGGCACTACTTTTATTTTTATATATATTTTTAATTAATTTATTTATTTAGTTGCACCAACAAAGTGATCATCAATAAAAAAAATTGAAAAACTGACAAAAGTACATGGCAGACATCACCTCAATTATAGGTGCAATCGACAGTGCATTAACAACAAAAAAAAATATATATATATGTATATATTTATACATATATAGTGGGCTTTCTTAGAAACAGTTTGTATTTCTCCGTTCTTGGTAAGTACTTAGAGGCTGATATTTCTATCTGGGTTAAGAGATTAGGTGTGTCGGTTATTCCATGGATTAATCAGATGAATACCCCCACTCTAAGCAAATATTAAATATTTTATTATGTATTACTTAGACATTTTTGTCCACCTTGAGATTTCATTGATCTTGTTACATGTCTCTGCAAAATCGACTTACTTATATTAAATTGCTTATCTATTTCAACTAAAGACTTATTCCCCATTTCGCTTCGAATAAACCAGATTTTTACCAACAAATTTAAAAAATATTGTTATAACTACATAGACAACCCTACAAACCTGTACCTATTTATACTTAGGTCGTTTCCATTTCACGTATTCTCATCCCAATTGACCCCTTTTTCGTTGTTATTTGTACCTAAGACGTCCCCAATATCCCCAAAACCAACAGATTTTTACATGTATTTTTATTTAATCAAATACATTAAAACCAATAACAACTGAGACTTACCTTTAATATATATGCTAGTTCAAACACTAAATAACGTTTATAAATCATAGTCGTCTTCTATTATTATCAAATAAATAAAAGAGAGCAAAGTTTCTAGCACTAAAATAATTACCACCACAGGAAGTTAATTTGAAACGCGATTTTTTATAAGTTAGCAGCTATTATCATGCATATTCAGATTTGTTTTGTGAACTTTCAACATTCTACTATTAAACTACAAAAAANACACTAAATAACGTTTATAAATCATAGTCGTCTTCTATTATTATCAAATAAATAAAAGAGAGCAAAGTTTCTAGCACTAAAATAATTACCACCACAGGAAGTTAATTTGAAACGCGATTTTTTATAAGTTAGCAGCTATTATCATGCATATTCAGATTTGTTTTGTGAACTTTCAACATTCTACTATTAAACTACAAAAAATGGAACATTTTGCAACGAATATAAAACATATATTGAGCGTCGAAAGATTTTCCCAGTTTTTTCCCGATTCGCCTCTCAATCCCTAATCGCCCCATTTTACCGATATACACTTAATATATTCGTTTGACTGGCAAGTGGCAGTGTATAATCTATATCATAGATAATACACATAATTAGGGACATTCCGATACAAGTAAATACGAGTAGGTACTCGATACTTTTGATTCGATGCCAAGTACCTACTAATAGCATTGAATCAATCTTGTGATACTTCGACACGAGAACCCTCTCATCGTGGCCGCCGGTAACTACATTCCCGATCCTGCGGACAGAATGGAAAGCAGTCGACGTCGCCCAAAACACGTCATCTCGGATCCTCCCGATCCACTAACGGTGCTTCTAGGTACTTCAAGACCCGTCAACGTTCTCGTCGAACCCGTCGCTTGCGACGAAGGGCTCGACGAGTAAATTAACTCCCAGACACAGCCCACTGAGTTTCTCGCCGGATCTTCTCAGTGGGTCGCGTTTCCGATCCGGTGGTAGATTCTGCGAAGCACGGCTCTTGCTAGGGTTCGTGTTAGCAACGTCATCAGGTTTGAGCCCCGTGAGCTCACCTACAAAAGTTAGGGTTACGCTGACATAGCCTCTCAAGGCTCTCAGCTTAGGTAGGAAAAAAAAAAAAAAAGTGATACTTATTCGGTGTCGAATCAAAAGTACTTGCTATCAAATCGAATCAAACTGATCCTATTTAAAATACCCAAGCTTCCGAACGCATCAGTTAGAACGAGAGAGAGAAAGTCCTCTCTCGCTCGATTATCGGTAAATGAGTAAGCCCATTTGCAGAGATGATATGAAATTTGTATTTCCTTAACTGTACAAATAAGCACAACAATATCTAATTGTAGTCGCAACATCAGTTCCAAGCGAACGCTTAAGTTCCACTAGCACTACCTCTGAGGAATTGCTTGAGATGATTTCAGCATCTCGTTTTTACAATCCCACCGCCTGCCACCAGAGTTGAGTTCATTCATACTACCTGGAGCCACTGCATTCATCCACAGTGCATTTCCAGAGATGTTTTCTGCCATACACCATCCGGCTTTGAAATCAGCTTCCCTCCACGGTGTTTCCCTAGCGCTATGACATGTCCTTCTTCAAACGAGGCTTGTGGAGAGCACTTAACGGTAGGGTTGGATCTCCCCCTGGCATTGGTGACGTCCATGGGCGACGGTAACCCCTCACCATCCGGTGGGCCATATGCACGTCTACCTACAAGGGCAATAAAAAATAAAAATAAAGCATAAGGTTAACTTAAATAAAGCTTAAACTTTTGAGTTTTTTTTTCAGGCGTTATGTAAGTCACCCAAGAGACAGGAATATGAAAAATAGCCCAATTAACAAAATATATGGAGCAAAGGACCGCAGCCACGACAGTTAAAAGAAAAGTGAACTGGAAATAATATCCCAGATCTTTAGGTAAACTTTTTATCCTTTGTCATGAAAACATGGTTTAATATTACTTGCAGCTTCTTGACTATTTTCCTACGCAAGCCATCTACAACAAGGCTTTGTAGCTAGATGTGATCAAAGAAACAATGATATTATGCGAGTTTCCGACATTAAATTTTGTTTGCTGTTTCTAGTAATATAATGATAAAACGTTGCTGTCATCATGATGACCATTAAATTAAATTTTATCATTTAACAATAATCATTTTTTTTAAACCAATTGATTTATTAAAGGTCTTTTGGGTCTGCTTCTTGCGTCTGCTTTCAGCATTCAGAAAATGAAGACCTCAAGAGATACCTGTACGTTTCATCAAGAAAACGTTGACTCGAGCAAGATATTAGATTCAAAAATACCTAGTCAGGTCATAAATTCTGTCACATGTTTAATGTAAAATAATTGAAACAAGTTTATTCATTATGTAACCATTCATATACCAAAATGAACTTAACAAAACATAGATTCTTATGACACTAAAGTTTATTCAAAATGACCTCCGTGATTTTGAATACAGGCCTTCAATCTGCGTGGCCAGTCGTATATCGCAGCACGAACGAGGTCCGTGTCAATATCGGCGGCTGCCTTAATCAAGGATGTCTCGAGTGACTCCAAATTGGGATGAGGCTTTGAGCACGCCTTTTCCTCCAAGTGTTGCCATATCTTGTAATCTAACGGATTCAAATCTGGACTGGAGGAGGGCCAGTCTTCGTGCCGGATGAAGTCGATTTCACGCGCCGCCAGCCAGTCTTGTGTGCTCTTCGCTCTATGAGCTGGCGCCGAATCTTGTTGGAATACCCAGTGCCTGTTATTGAACATGGTATGAGAAACAGGTTCCACAAGGTTCGTCAGGACTGTATTTTGATACACAACTGCATTCGTTTTTACACCTTTCTCACAAAAATGTACCTCTGTTAAGCCCCAATAAGAAACTCCCAACCATACCATGAGCGAGGATGGAAAATGACCTCGTTGGACACGCGGAATACGGTTGCTCGCTTCTTCACTACTGTGTGCGTACACCTTATCATTTTGTTTGTTGTAGCTCTCTTCTACGGTAAAAATTTTTTCATCCGAAAAAAGAATTTCCCGATATTTTTTTCCCGCGTACCGCTTCAACAAAGCGCGGCATCTCTTCAGTCTCAGGTCCATTAGACGAGCATTCAAACGATGTCCTGTTTTTCTTCGATATGCCCGAAGCCCTAAGTCTTCATTTAACACCCTTTTCACCGTGGTTCTGCTTAACCCCATCTGAAGGGCCAACAGTTTCTGCTTACGTTTGGGGTTTCTTTGAATTCGCGCCTTCACAGCTTTTATCACTGCTGGAGTCCTAACAGACCGAGGGCGACCACTTCTTGACCTGTCATCTACACTAGAGTCTTCATTGTATCGTTTGATGGTACGATAAACGAATCTTTTGGTTATATAAAAATTTTTCAGTATGTTAAAAATTTGAATTGGCGCGTAACCGCAACGATGCAACGCAATAACTGCAACACGGTCTTCTTTAAGCGTCCACTCCATATTTAAAAATGAGTAAAATTCTAAAAGTATACATTTTTATTTTCATGAACAATTCGAAATTCGAATACAATAAACTTTTTTGTGGCCAGCATTCTAAAAGAAAAGTTTTTACTGTGTGACAATACTTATGACCTGACTAGGTATGTAAAAAACCTGTTAATTTGAATACAAAGTAATAAAATTATTACTTTGTTTTGTGGTTAATAAATATTAATCTTTGAATTTTTCCCTTTTTCTTTTATTTATTGCTTATGTGGGTGACGACCTCACGGCCCACCTGGTGTTAAGTGGGTACTGGACCTTATAGATATCTAAAACGTAAATGCCGCCACCTATCTTGAGACATAAATTGTAAGGTCTCAGTATAGTTACAATGCTGCCCCACCCTTCAAACCGAAACGCATTACTGCTTCATGGCACAAATAGGCAGGTTGGTGGTACCTACCCGCACAGACTCACAAGAGGTCTTACCACCAGTAATAAAATGAAATCCTAATGAATTCTTTTTTTCCAGATTCTGATTCTTTTACGAAATTTCAACGCGGAGTATGCGAGACTGCCGAAGCTATCCGTTAAACAAGTCCCCTGTACTCTCGCTGAAACATTTGGACCCCGAAAAACAAAACCAGAGACAGGCAGACCGCAGGATACACGGCAATCAGGCACGTGAACAGCCTAAATACACCCGATGCAGTAGAAGTCTGCGAAAACGACTTTACTTCGGTTAGCACGGTCGGTGGCCCGTCAAGCTGCCCACGCGGTACAGCTGGTGTTTCGATATATCCCGTTGGACCAGAATTAGCCTACAAAGGCGGAACGATTTACTGCCAACCGATCGCTATTCATTGTCAACTTTGCGACATCGCAATCGACAATCCACAAAACACGTCATGCAACCTAAACCTGTCGCCTTGAACCGTCACCAAATGATGCTGTCTCATACATTTTTTTTATCCTACTCAAGCTGATAGCCTTGAGAGGCTATTTCAGCGTAACCTTAAGTAGTAGGTGAGCTCACGGGGCTCAAACCTGACGACATTGCTAACACGAACTCTAACAAGAGCCGTGCTTCGCAGAATCTACCACCGGATCGGAAACGCGACTGACTGAGAAGATCCGGCGAGAAACTCAGTGGGCTATGTCTGTAGGTTAATTTACTCGTCGAGCCTTTAATCGCAAGCGTTCGACGTGAACGATGATCGGTGCTTCAGGCACCTAAAAGCACCGTTAGTGGATCGGGAGGATTCGAAATGACGTGTTTTGGGCGTCTCATACAGGAGCTGGAGTTGGGTTAAAACTTCCTTCTAACTAGGGCCCAACCGCAGCCAATCGGTACAGATAGAGAATAGCTCTTTCTCACGCTCCGCCACCTGCTTCTACTAGCGTATTCTATTTTGAAAAATAGATTATTCACTATAATGCTGAGGAATGTATTATTTAGCGCAAAAATGGAAACAATGTACTAGTGTGCACTTAATTAAAACCGGTTTAGAATTTCTTCTCTCTTTTTTTTCTTATTGTATTTAGTTATTTAAGTGCACAAAGAGATTAAGTGGAACAAAAACATTGACACATTTAATACTAGGATATCGGGAAGGCAATTAATAGTGAATATTTTATATCTAAACATTGAAACAGTCGAGATCGATTCACAAGCATTCTTCGATGGTATCGCTAAAAATCGATTTTTGCCATAAAGCCATTCTTCGAACATAACATTTTCAGATCATCATTCACCATCACATCTCTAGATCGACCTTTTTCATTTGAGTTGTGAGCCGCTTCTTTTCCATTTGTGCTCTTGGTGAGGTTAGATTTCTCCAAATTTCATTCTGTTTCTATCGCACTGACTGCGTTAAATAAATCATTTTATAATACTTATAGAAGTTATTTAAATACATTGTTTTATTTTAGGATTCATTAGCATTTACGCTTCCAAAATGGTTGCAGCAAAGAAACAGGTAAGAGACACGACACCACGTGTACCATACTTGATGAGCACTAAATATATTGGACTTGGGCGTAATTTTTAACAAAAATGGTTAAATAATTTCTCCCTCATTAAGTCCTAAATAAACTAATACTTGATAGACTCACAAATTATGTAATTTTTGAGTTTGAGTACGTATCTCACATTAAGTTTTTTGTCAATTGTAATCTGTTTCGGTAGTTTTTTTTTTATAATTTATAAATGCTTCATATTTGTATTACAGAAAAAGACCATCGAGTCAATTAACTCCCGCCTTGCCTTGGTGATGAAATCGGGAAAATATTGCTTAGGATACAAGCAAACTTTAAAAACTCTTCGACAAGGCAAAGCAAAGCTGGTTATCATCGCTAAAAATGCTCCTCCGCTAAGGTGAGGCTACTGAGAAGTAGAGTTTCCCAATACTTGTCAAAGGGATGCATATGGAGTCTTACTGACAAAGAAGTATGGATTCCCTTTGTGGTTTAGTAAAACAGTTCGCAGAAATAAGGTTAAATTGAACTAAGACTAAGAATGGTGTAAGTGGTATAGCAATTTTTTTGGGCGTATGTATCTTTTAAACAAATAATTTTTAATTTACCTTTAATGATAAATTATAAATTCGATTAAATTGCATTCGTTTCTTAATACTGTTTTGCTGGATCACAATGTGGGGAACCTATGGAGTAGTCTTTAAACTCGATACTGCACTTTGGCAGGTAAGAATTATGTTTTCTATTCAAATATTTTATGTAATCCATAGGTTGTATTTATATGAATAAGTAAATGAAGTTATTGACAGTTGTAGGAACTTGACTATGCCGAATATGATTGGAATCCACTGAGTAGTTAGTTAATCTGAGAAAAGTTCGGCTTATGTGTTGGTGCTGCCATAACTATTGTTATTTTGAGTTCACAATTCAGTTTTAACATTTCAATTTAATGTTGGTTTAAATGTACAGTGCATTTATATTTATTTATATATACGGTCATCACATAATACAAATATATTTTAAATATTAACAGGAAATCTGAGATTGAATACTACGCCCTCCTAGCTAAGACAGGTGTTCACCACTACAGCGGGAACAACATTGAATTAGGAACAGCATGCGGAAAATACTACAGAGTGTGCACACTCGCCATCACAGACCCTGGTGACTCGGACATTATCACCACTTTGCCTGAAGCATCAGCCTAGATTAAATAAAAAGTTATAAAAGCATGTTTCGTATTTATTTATTTCCAAAATATTATCAGTAGAGATGGGATAAGGTTTTTTTAAAGTCAAGACACTGGCAAGTTCATGCAATTCAATTTCCTTTTTTTATAAAAAGTGACAATTGCAAATTTCATTACCCTTTTTCTATTCAACAACCAGGTGAAAAAGCTAACAGTCATAAGCTGGATTGCTGCAGCCTGCCATACCATTAGATATGAGGTCTAAGACCCTACAGTATAATAATAATATAACGATTGCCCCTTTTTCAAGACGTGACATGCGAAGCACTGATAAGTAGGATGGTATTTGGCCGTGCGGACTCGTAAGTGTTAAAAACCAATAGCCGCCAAAGTGTAAATTAGGTCTACCTACGAAATTTCCGTTTAATTTATGTACATACAGAAAGTTTTTTGTTTTTTATTTTTATCAATCCATCTGAATATACATCCATGGATCGATGCATTTGCCAGCGCAGTGATAATTTTTAATTAAATTTTCTGCCCTTGAAGTCCAGGTATATGGGAGCTAACAAAATCTTCAGGCATTTTGTACAGCCTCGATTTGGAATTTTTTTCCTGCCAAGAAATTATTCGAACTGGAAAAAGTAGAAGTGTGTCGGCGCAAGGTCTGATGAGCAGGATGAATAGCACAAAACTTCCAACCCTAGCTCTTGTAACTTAAGAGACCCTCCAGTGTGGCGTAAAAGGTTGCGCGTTGTCGAGTAGGAGCAGCGGGAACAAGCGATTAATGGAATTGATACGGAAATTTACGAGCTTCACCATCATTGGGTCTAGTATCATCATAGTAAACAACGTAATGCTGATTCTATTTAGTAAGCTATGATGAATTATACCAGCACTAGACAACCAAACAGTAACCAGGACTTTTTAGAGGTAAAAGTTCGTCGGGGAAATTGTGTAGGTCTAACTGACATAATGACCGCTTACGATTATTAAAAAAAAAAACAATTTTCATCGCAAGTGAGAATGTGGTTTAAAATTCTTTAGTTTCTGTCTATTGAACCATGCAATACTTACCGTGACGCGTTCGTCGCTCTGGCGATCGTTCAGTTCATGCAGCACCCACTTTTCGAGCTCTCGGCCCACCTGGTGTTAAGGGGTAACCGGAGCCCATAGACAACGTGAATTCCGCCACCCATATCGAGCCATGAGTTGTAAGGTCTGTTTCAACAGTACAATAGCTGTCCCACCCTTCAAACCGAAACGCATTACTGCTTCACGGCAGAAATAGGCGGGATGGTGGGACCTACACGAGCGGACTCATAAGACGTCCTACCACCAGTGTTGTTCGCTCCAGATTTTACAGTATAAAAACAAAGAATTTTAATACAAGATTATTGGCAATACGTACATAACCGTAATAAAAGAGTAGATACCTATACCACCAATAAATTCGCTTCATGGTGAGTAGACTACACAGTAGTACACAGCCTATAACTGAGCTTACGTGCGGCGTCTTCGTAGCACAAATATTTTCAGACATTGCAAAAATAGTCAGATTGTAAACACTTACAACGGTATCCTACGGGAAGTGATGAATAGTACTTGCAGCCGTTAATGTTGTGGAATTTGTTTCTACGGCATGATAGATATAGCAACCTAATGTAGGTAAGATATTTCAAAGATATTGTTTTTTATTGGGAATCCTCTTCTATATTGATAGGATTTTCAGTCAAACCCTCTATAAATGAACATAGGTTTCGAACGGTGACTACGTACTTACGTGCTAAACGTATGTACTTGGTTTGCACATTCTCAACAACCACAATCGAGAAACGATTATAAATAAATAACTGGAAACAAATCACGCGTGGGAACGTGAACAAATCACCATCTAGTAGATAGTGGCAAATGCATTTACCTACTACCGAATCGGAATCATGACTCGTTCAGAAGATTCGTCGAGAACTTGGCGAGTTGATACTATAGGCGAGGTGTGATCTGTGATTTGCTATTTCTGCTAGTGTTACTATTAGTAGCCTCCAATAGCACTGAAAGGCGATCAGGATCGTGGATCAGGACGTGTCTAGAGTATCGACGACGGTTGGCTGCTGCGTGAACAGAATTAGGGATGTCGAAACGCAGTATACCTGATTTCATTAATAAAACGTATTCAAGTCCATTATTTATTTTGCAAAATTTATACAACATATTCTTTAAAATATATTTCAAGCTATGTATTTTACGTAAATTGAACTGCTTTGGTCGTTTTCATATCTGTAAATAAAAGAAGCCGTATTAATACAAAAGTTTAGTGACTGTAGCAAAGACTAAGAAAGAAGTACATATTTACCTTTTGTGTTTTTCTCCATTTAAGAGTACTTAAATTGTTCTTGGATACAATACTCTTCTTATTTTGTCCAAGAATGTTGCGAATATTCTGCTTAATACTGTAAAATAAAATTTAATATGCATATGTTAAGTTTGGACAAAACTTTTGTCATATGCTTATTTCATTGTAATTGATATTTATTAGCTTTGTGCCATCTTAAAATGAAAAAATAAAGGAAAATTATTTGGTTTCAAAAAAAAAATGGAGTGGTCGAATGGACGCTAAAATGGTAGTTGTTTCTATGGGCACTATGGAATAGTCAATCGCCAAGCGAGATTTTAAAATTTTTAGCTTTCAATAGGTGGATACTTTGAGATACGAGCGGTGATAAGTAAGGGCCAACCATCTCTCCGTGGTTTTTTTTTTTTAATATCATCATAGACATCACTTTAATTTTACCTTTAGTATTTTTTTATGAAGTTATTAGCACAGTGGTGCAGATATTATATATATTTGTAATAGTGGATAAGAAAAGCATGCTGTGTCCAGAGAGACATAATCATCATAACTTTAAATTATATACTTTTAATAACTTTACCTTTTTTGCTGTCTTAGGAATCTTAATTCCACTGCTGTAGCAGATTATTAGTCATTTCAAATTCGTCCTATCGTCAAAATGAGTCTTCACCTATTAACCTGTAAACAGTTATACAATTTGAGGTTTTATTTTTAAAATAGAAGTGCGCTTTTGATTTTATGAACTAAAAGAAAACTGAATTTTTAAACGTACTACAAGCTGTGTAATGATAATAAAACTTATAAGATACCCATGCGCTGCACGCATACCTTAATTTATCCAATTATGTATATATATTCAGACCCTACTTGTAATTTCTTCACAATATTTGATTTATTTTTTATTTTAGTACCCATGTACTTTAGTTTAAACNCTTTTCGGGCCGGGGGCCGAACCTCCTACGAGGTCCCCGCGCCTAGGGGGCGCGCGGGGTATGTGAGACTCAACGATCTGCAGGTATTGAGAGCAGATCGCGGGCCCAAGGATTTTAGGGCCCACCCACTAAACGACTCCCCTGCACTCTTACACCCGACGTCCGATCTCCGTCCGGGGTCAGAACCCGTTCAGAGTAGAAGTGGACAGTCCTGAATCAACATATCGAGTGATATTGCATAATAACCATTTTGTTTCTAAGAAGGTTCATAACTTTAAGGGAGGTTAATTTAGTCTTATCAATCGGCTATATTAATTTTATGTCATTATATGAATAGTTCGTTACTGTTAGGCATTGCTGAGCCGGTAACCGTTTCCAAGCCTCGTTTTTTTATACCTAATTTATGTTTGGAATAAATGTTTATTATTATTAATAGTATGATGGACAACTAATCAGAAACCGTTGAGACATATTGGCGCGACGCCATTGAATTGTCACACGTAATGCGGTGCACGCAGCAACGCAGGACGTTGCGGGCACTTTACTACTGTTATAGTGTATACCAGTAATACGTTGTAGCCATTGGTTGTCGTAGCGACTATCCGCTTGTGGTAACATCCCATTTTCCTAGATTCAACAAAGATGGCTGTTTTCGTGCACAAATCAATGACATGTTGCAGGCAGAATCGGCAAAAAGGCCAAACTATGTGGGTACAAATTGAAATTGATATAAAGAAAATTATATAAACGACAAACAAGTCGAACAAACAAATCGTAAAATTCTATTATGATATTTCTCGACATTATTCGTAATTGAATTAAAAATAAAGGATCATTCGTTTTTAGAATTTCATTTTTATTTTATCTGTATGTACGGAATTCAATAATGGCCGTTCATGCTCTGCTGTGACTATCATTATAACAGTATGAAACAATAATTTATTCATTATAGATGACATCTTTATAAATCTTGTCTAACGTTCCTTAATTCAGTCACTTCAAGATCATCATACAATATCCTCTCATAACTGCTCGTGTGTTTTACTTTGTGTGCACTCGCATTGTTGTCGTGTGCGTTGTGTAGGTAAAAGCAAGTAAACGTCAGAATAAAGCCACAACAACAAATTATGTATCCAATGTATCATTCATAAGCGAACCACATAATTTGTATACAACACTCCTATTGTATATTCAAAACTACATATCGAGAGATGAAAGGCTATTCGGTTCAAGTGTCATTTTTGAATGGGGTAAGCTTAATTGAAGTTCAATAGAAAGCATCGAATTGTTGATACTAATACCAAATAAAACGGATCTTTAATTACACAGATAAATGTCGCATATTAAGCGAAATGTCGCTTTAACCAATACCCTTTCCCCCCTCGATATACTGGCGTTTGCAGTCTTGACAAACATGTATGCCGAATTTTCTGCCTACATCATGTCATTACTTACATAGGAAAATACTGTTTTATATTGTGATAATAATTACCCTTAAGCAATAGGATTTATAGCGTTCTTCCTAAAATCCATTTTTTTCCTACGTTCATGGTTTAGTCGTGGAAACCTTAAAATAACAATGACCATTGTTTAGCATGTGTGGCTTTATATTAATGACTTCAGACTGTTACAAGTCATTTTCTTATCCAGTTTTAATGCAGGCAACCAGTTTCACAACCACAATGACGTAACATAACGTGTATTCTTACTATATTCCTTGTATACTCTAAATTCCATTACTTGTCTTGGACAAGATATTATGAACTTTCATAATAACGTCATTTTTCAAAATCCATTTTCTCTTGGCTTATCTACCTCGAAAAGGTTGAATAAACATTATTTAAAGCTTAAAATAGTAATAATGTAACCATTGCGCACTGCAGTTTTGGGTATGAGTTTATAATTCATTAATGACCTACATATCGCACCTTTAGAATTATAAAGACCCAACTCAAAAAATGTGTTTTTTGGAAAACATCGATTAAAGTTCTCAGACCGAAAAAACGTAGAGAAAGGGGACGGAGTGAAAGAGACCGATATATAGCTTTGTCCCTTTATAGGCTACTTATGGTCGGTCATATGATTACTAAAAGTCGCTAAAAAGGGTCGTTCTAGGTCAATTTTTGAATTAAAGACGAAATCCAAATATTTCAAAATGAGTCTCTATAATTTTAAAGGTGCGATATATATTTTATTACCAGAATTTGATATTATAATACAATAGCTGTTCACAATGAGCGGCGTATTTGAAAGTTTTATTATAATTATTTATTTAATCGAATTGTGCGTCACTCACCGCTTAAACATAGAATTTTATATTCAACATTACTTGAATTGTTGTGCTGGATTATTACCATTGCTGTTTGTACACAACTATTTATGCAATTTTGTTTAACTGACAGCACATTCTGTCCCTTTCTATCACACTTTTATTAGTATGAACTTTACGCAGTGAAATTCGCCGTAATTTTAATTAGAGTTCAAGACGTCCGATTAATTTAAATATTGATGTTAAGGACCGATATTAATAAAATAATTTTAATAGTTAATCTAATATCGGTTGCTATTTGATTATTATTCTTTGCCTTTATTTTTCACACAAATGCATCACAACTTTTATTACTATTTTATTATTATAAAAAAAATTAGAACGTTTACGATGATAATTATAAAAAGCATAAAATGAAGGCTTAAGGTTAATCAGATCTCATTTCAATTTTTATATATTTAGCATACCTACATATACATACCAGATTTTTTTTAATTAGTTGTCCAGGTCGTGTTCGTTCCACCAACGAACATTTTTCCTAAATCGTGCTATTATCATTCGTTAATTTAACGATGGTCGTTATAGTCATTGGTTTTTAATTTAATTTATTTATACTTAAGTCGTCGATGATCTCAGTAAAATACCTATTAAGGTATCAGATCTTTCTAATTATATTCGAAGCATTTGTGAGAGCAACTTATCGGGGAACTATCTCACGGGCTTCGTGAGTACAATGCTAACGTTAATACGCAAATATCTTATGTTAAATAAAATAAAAAAAGAGTAACAAATACTTATCGTTCAATTTTCCGCTTATTCATAATGAAAATGATTAATTAACGGTTATAACGGATTTGTAAAGCTCTGATTCATTGAATAAATTTTCTGAGGTCGCACAATAAAGCGTATGACCTTCTGGGATTATTCACTTCTTGTGAAGTTACACGCTAATTGTATTATAAATATGTAAGTACTGCACTGTATAAATATGTGATTTCTTAAAAAATATTTTCTTCATCAACTTATCTTAGGTTTATTTTTTAAGTACGCAAAAATTTACACATTACCTGTTTTTAGTAAAGATATGGTGCGTCATAATTAACTTCCAGAGCTCCAATGCAATTTTGTAGAATAATTTAACTTCACATGTACTGCAACTTTACTATCATATTATACCAGATTCATTTCATTATAATGAATTCACCCATAATTGTAATCTAAAAAATCTTTACATAAATAAACTAGTAATGTTAAAGTGTACGCAAACATTGTACACATTCGGAATTGTCATTTCTTCGTGGCTTTTAATTGATACCGTGATAGTTAGGATAAATTTTCTTTATATAGATACCTATGTATAAATAGTTTTATTGTATAAATCTAGTATATAAAATTCTCGTGTCCCGGTGTTTGTTGCCAAACTCCTTAGAGATGGCTCAACCGATTCTCATGAAATTTTGTTTGCACATCGTGTAGGTCTGACAGGTTAACATCTATTTTTCACACCCCTAAATGAGACACCCAAGAAAAGTATCCTAAAAATAATGTATATGGAAAACCAGCGTTTGCCGGGTCAGCTAGTAGTTTTATATTTTCCATACTTAGCTAGTCAAGAAATCGACAAGTATTTTTAAGCTTTCCCTTTTCTTGCATAATGATATTATTTTACATTTCAACTTTCAGATTCTAGTCTTAGTAGGTTAAAACTCATACCCTTGAGAAGTGCTTTATAAGATACCAACTGTATCCGCCCGCTTCGCTAGGCATTTAAAATTAACATTATTATTTCTCACCCCCACAAAAATTCTCATCATTAACGCCCCCGCAACTGGTGTAGGGAGTTCAACACCCATATAAATATTAGCCTATCCATGAAGTACATGTATTTTTTACATGGATACCAAGTTTCAAGTCAATCGGATGCACGGTTCAGTAGTTATAACGGAACATCCGTAAAAACCACTGTATATTTATATATTAGTATAGATATCTTTTTTTTAAATATAATTTCTACTATACTATTTAGGTGTTGTTAATTGTCAATTTACATAATATAATCTAGTAATTTCTCTCCTAAAAAAACAATTTATGTACACAATTGTACTATTGTATTTCGAATAAAATTATAGTTTCATTCGCTTTAATTTCAATAAAATTACTAAATAAACATAAGCATTTGTAGCTTGCGTTGCTTTCATGTTGTCTTACAACATTAAGATGGTCACTTGAACAAATCCACAGTGAAACCTTCCTTCCTAGTTTTCAAACGTTTTTTTTTTTCTTTCTTTATATTTATATGCATACCCCATTTTACGTTTATGAACATTATAAGGTCAAGACTTTTCTGTGAGTGGATATATCTATTTTAAGTTTTGTACTTTTGTCAATTTCAGTGCTTTTTATTATTTTATACATACTTATATACAGTCATACAATAAAATACGAAATTTATATTCGAATATCGATCTTTTTATCTCATTAAGGATATAATTTAAATAGATATGTAATTATAATAAATATAGAAGTTAATATTTATAATAATTACATACAGAATGTATTTTTTTTTACTGATTTTGGTTCTTTCTCTTTTTGACTCTTTTGGTTCCTTTCATGATAATAGTGTAGTTAAGTGTACTATCCTTTTTGTGTCCTTTAGGCCGGTTACAGTGCTCCACCGACCGTCTGTGCGTACGTCAGTCGCGCTTGTTGTTTATATGAAAATTCATAAATCATTACAGTGCTGGACTGACCGTACGCACGCGTATATTGCTACGCACTGCGTACGAGGACCGTCGGTCTAGCGCGTCCGCATGCGTGCCGTCGGTCTACCGACGCGCAATGGAAACAAATGAACGCGTTCAGTGCTGCACCGATCGGTGGACCGACCGTACGGATGTGGGTATCATCATCGAAAAAGGGGATTTCATATTGAACGTGGCCAAATATATCGACACCGAGCGCCCAATCACCGAAGTTCGTGAACCGCTCTGGGACAAAGGCCACGTGTTATATAAAGATCGCGATGCCAAGTTAAAGGCCTGGCAAGAAGTATGTGCTGATAATTCATCAAAACTTGATAGACATTCTGAAATAATTAAAAAAACTTGAACGTTCCTTAAACGTTTTCGAAAATAATAAGCAGCAATTAAACTATTTGCAAACGCTTCCCTTTTGCGTACCGACTATACCAATTCGGTCAGATTGTTGGTCAGGAGAGCACTGAATGAAGCAAACTGACGATCGGTTAATGCGTACCGTCAGGACGGAACGTACGCACAGACGGTCGGTGGAGCACTGTAACCGGCCTTAAAATTTATTAGTTGATGCTTAACGCTTTATTGACTGGCTATTTGTAAATCTAACATTTTCTATCAAGTAAGCCCAATATAATAATTTACTAAGAACATCCATTGTTATTTTCATAATAACTTTCAAAATAACTGAAAGTAAACCCCTAACAACTCACTTTGAAACCACAAATTAGTTCCTGATTTTGTTTTAATTTTGTTTGAATACCAAGTTCTTTTCAATTCCATCATATTGTGTTTAGGTATTATACGACCGTTTACCACCTAACAAAAAAGTTGTGATTTCATCAGTTTCGTAAATAAAGTATACACAAACATTAATTTTATACTTTTATTAAAAATTAAGTTCTTATTCACTAAAACATCATGGGTGCCATACCAAGAAAAGGTACTTAATAAAATGTTAACCCTAAAATACAATTCTGGAATTACAATATTCTGATCTTGCTCTAAATAATTTTATTAGTATAGGACATTCTTTTAAGCCAGTCATAAGTCAGTAATAAAACCTAATGTTCTAGTTCATTTTACTTTGTTTGTCTGACTTTTCAAACAAAGTCCGTCACTACAAATTAAATTTGTCTATCAATTATTTATACTGGTTTGTTCTTGCATCTTGTAGTTCGTTTTTGTATTTCTCGTTAATCTGATTTTCACAACACCTAATTCAATACTTGTTTCTGTTGTACATCCAATAACTTGAGATATTTCATCCACTTTATACAGATATTAATTATCTTTAGATCGAAGTTAAAGATGTAAATTTTATTCTGTTACAATCAAACAGATCACCAACTGCCTGTAATACAAACAATTATACACAAACTGTAATATTGTTATGTTTTATAGCTTTACACCATGTTCAATAATTACCAATATGTAATTTCTCAGTTGGGGCGTTGGGGATTTACTAATGTTTTTTTTTAACTAAACGTTTTGCTCTAGTTGTGTCACCAAAATTATTTAACCTAAATTATAAATATAATTATTATTTTATTTATGTCTTATTCATTCATTATGCTATATGTTTTCTTCATTTTTAGTGGAATATCATTATTCTAGAATGCACTGTGGTCAAGGAATACTGTATGTAGTATTTAAGCATCTAGTTTATTAAATCTAAGATTGCCAAACAATTTTTAAACCAACCTGGGTACAAGAACTATTTAAATGCACTGCGCTCATACTGATATAATTTTGATAAGTTTCCTGACGATACATCACTAAGTCGACAAGCAAGCACTTCCAATACAGACCATTTATTTATTTATTTGTAACTTAAAGTAAATATTGAATCACACAAATAAATTAGAGATTTCGTCAAAGTAAGCTACAACATAATCTGTCCCTTGGTAGTTCAGTATTTTCCAAACTTACCATAGCTGTTAGAGTACTGTTGTTGGGGCGGATAGGAGTTGTAGGCGGGTTGTGAATACGTGTCGTACGCGGAGGCAGCGCCGCCGTATGCGGACTCTGCTGCTCCGTAACCGGCGTCACCCGCCCCGCCCACTCCGCCGCTATATTAACAATATATTTTGCGATCAATAACTACTCATGTATAATAACGCCACACGTTTGTACTGGAGTGATATTATATAATCATTTGGGGTTTTCGTTTTTAATAATAATTAATGTAATGCTGTTCCAAATACTAGCTTAAAGAACTTGATATTATTAATATTTTATTAAACAGAATCTATGGGTATGCTTTCTCAGCCCCTTATCAACAATAGAATTCAGCCTACTGTACAAAATAAAATTACTAGGCTACTGGTACAAGGTTTTAAGAGTATTTAGTAATGAAGATTAAATCTGAAATTTTTTAATTATTAGATATGATAGTAATTTTTACAATTTTTTTGGTTAAAATATTTTAGCATTTTTTTATTGCATTAGCACATTCATTTAGAGTATTGTTTTTTAAATTTATATTTATCTTCTTACTGATTTTAAACTCAACTATTTTTTTCAATAAACATAGGGCCCTCCTTAATCACAGACTGCATTGGTTCGTAAGTCACCTTCTCAAAAAAGTAATAATAATATTTAAAAACAGTTCAACTAACACCTGTTAATGATTAGGTCATCTCCGTACCATAACTTTTGTGGCTATTGTTATTTATTAAGAACTTAAAAGTAAAACGTATTAATTTTTTTTATAAAGTTTGACTGACCTGTAACCATCATTTTCGTAACTTCCTGGACCACCTGTTGAGTATCCATAGCCCGCCCCATAACCACTGGAACTATATCCAGAAGTGACCTGAGCAGCTGCCGGTGCAGAGTAACCACCATCTTGATATGAGCTACAACAACGAGATTGACATTACAATACAATCAATGTCAACATGTATCTAAAAAATGCATATTAATCGTCAGGATCTAATTTTCTGCATGTATGTTTCAGACGGCAATTCCTATCTGTTAGATTCGTAATCATCATTTTGATAATTTTATCTGTATATATATAATTATATTTTTTAAATTATTGTTGGGTTCGTCAGAATTTCACTCAGAACAGCTAAGGCTAATAATCAATTTTCAAATAAATTTTAATCTTAGTTTTATTCTAGCTTACCTTGGTGCACTGTATGATTGTTGTGTATAAATATCAGCAGTTGGTGGCTCATATGGCTGATATCCAGTGTGTCTAAACAGATACAATTCTTATTACTATAGATTACTGCCTTGATCTAAGGACTTTTGATATAAATACTTATACATCAGATATTGAATAATCGTCATTTTTGTATCAGACGGCACATTCCTATCGTATTCTTGGTTCATCATTTATTTATACTTAATATAACTTAAAAAAAATGTTATAAAGAAAATATTGCAATGTCCAACACAGACAAAATCACTACTTATGGAAAAAAACACTTACGATGGTACATATCCATTTGATTGAGGAGGTGGATGTCCAACAGATCCCCTACCTCCACCACGTGGGCCTTCAAATCTATAACACACGAACAGTTATTATTGTAGTTAAAAATGTATGTTCAATGTTATATAACTTTTATGCTTGATTAATTTTAGAGAAAATTGCTAACAATAGAATGTTTAATATATGTAAAAAACCAATTAAAATAATAAATATTTGGAAGTTATGTTTGGGTGTTATACAGTCATACAAAACTGGGTAAACTAATTAGGATAACGTTTCCCACAAGGATTTATAATTTAAAAATTATTTATTTTTAATAATGGTAAATGACATGATCTGGGCAAGACCATGGGAATATTGAGATAGTGTTCGCTGGTTGGTGATCTTTCATGCATTCTACCATTATGATAATTTATGGACCAGAGTAAAACAAAGAAGTCTTTATTGTAGAAACATGCTACATGTTTCATGTTTTTTAAATGTTATTAATTTAATAAGAGTGAAATCTGGTGGCACTGCTTGTTAAAGCAAATTCACAATACACATTTTTGTTAATTTTATGGCCACAGGGGCAGTTAGCTGAATCAATATTTACAACAACATGCATTTCATAGCACAATACCTAATAACCCTATTTGTAGGTATTCCATTTAAATAGTCTACAAACCTGCCACGTTTAGGAGGTCCACTGGGTCCACCACGTATTACACCTCCACCACGCTTGAAGGGAGGACCCTGTGGCTGAGCTGCAGGCGCACCGGCAGCATGTGGTGGTGCGGGACGCGGTGGTGGCTGCACAGGACCCACCACTGGAGGCACAACTCCCGGAGCTGGTCCAGGAGGACCTGGAGGTGGACCATGGCCACCTCTTCCACCACGACCTAGTGACAATTTTTATAATGTATTTAATTGTAAACATCAAATGACAACATAGCTCTTCACATCACTAACAAGCTTCTGCACAACCATAACACAAAGTCACTTAATAATTTAAACAGGAAAAGTTCTGTTTAATGTCATTTTTGAAAAACATGTAAAATGTATGGATTTCAATTTAAAATTGAATACCTCTCATTGGCATTCCTCCACGACCAGCACCTCTATCACCACGCTGTCCGAAGTCTCCTCGGCCTCTACCACCTCTGCCTCTCATACCACCAGGCCCCCCTCTATTGTTAAAGCCACCACCTAACGAGAACATCCTGGTACACTACACTTGCTTTATTTTGGTTCAATCATGAAAATTTGCATGAGAATGGAATACATGCAACCTTTACTTTTACAATAGTAGATAATAAATTTTCACCACCTCGACAACTTTCAACAACAAAAACATTATAAATGTTGTCATTACATGCAGTTGAGTGTTCATATACAAACAATCGAAATGCCAAGCATGTAGTAATTTCTAGGAATAATAGATAGGGCTTAAATCTCACAGGCATGATTTTGCCCAATTCATTTATAGAGCATTTACTAGCATTACTAGCATACTAGGATTGCAAACTGACATTTACTAGTAAAACATAATTCAGGCAAGCTAAATCACCTGGCCCGCATGCCACTGAAACGTCAACCTGATGTCTCAAATTAGATAGCAGTAATTACACTGTTTTCTCTATGGGTTCCAGTAACTACTTTACACCAAGTAAACCTTAAACTGTTTAATCCACCATCTAGGGAAAAAAATGTAGTAAATTTTTCATTCTAGCTTCCACAATAGAAAAATAAAATCTGCAAAATGACACAAATGGTGGTTGGGATAATAAATATTGTCTTTTTTGAATTTATTCATAACATGGGAATGACAAAAATGTACAAAAAAATTAGGCATTAAAATGAAAATTTTCATTTTTTGTTAACATTATTCCAGACTCTTCTATTATTGTTAGTCAACCAATTAAAATTGTGATCCCTAATGTTTGATCTATTTAGTAAAATTTGAAGTTTTTCTTTCTAGGCCCCCAAACCCAAACATTTGTTTGTACATATGAGTAAACTTAATTATCTATATATATTTAAATATGTAGCTGGTATAATTATTTTAACTATTGGTGTTCGCATGGTACAGAGAAATTAAGTTGGGACTCGGATGACCATGATTTATCCTCGATTATTCAATATTTTTATTATTGTAGTTTGAGAGCAATACAAATTATTGTATTGTTCCACCGACAGCCATAAAGTGATCTCTTAATATTTTTCTTACGTGGAGGTGGTGCACCCCGCGACTCAATGGTAGGTACTGGATGTGGACCAGGTCCTTGCGGTCCAGGTGGAAATCTTCCCCCTCGATCACCGCCTCCGCGCATCGGGCCACCTCCAAAACCACGTGGGCCTCCACGCATAGGCGGCCCGCCCCTAGGTGGTCCACCGCGACCTCTCATGCCAAATCCACCCCTAAAAACCAAACACCAAATGAAAGGTACATCCTAAAAAGCTAGTAAATCAGTAGTCATAAATAATTTTGGAACAAATTTGCCTTATAGTATAAATTATTCAAATTATTTCTAAATGAGATAACCTCAATCTGTGACGCTATCGCAAAATTCTGCATGTACTCACACAAAGGGGGCTAAAAAATGTAACTAGTCACTTACCGTCCACGTACATCGAAACCACCTCTTCCCCTCATTCCTGGTGGTCCACCGCGTCCTCCACCACGGAAACCACGATTTGGTGGACCTTCCATCATTAGCGGGCTCTTGGAAACAAGAGCAAGTGAAAATTATATATTACGATGTCAACTGCGTACCAGGATCTAATATCGCGTAAAATGACTACAACGACAAAGAAAGACAATCGCAAAATCTATAATCCTATTTTTAGTACGGCGATGTAGTAAAGCGTCTATCCGCCATTACAACCGAATATAATTTTAAAATGGCAGACAGACCCTTGTGTTTATAATACCCATTGGTTTCTGTTCCTTTAGCCTAGTCGTAGTCATTTACGTAAAAACCATACTATATAAATTTATCTTAGAAAACTGAATTATTATCAAGGCTAAATATAATGAAGTCGATTTATTTGAAATTAGTTAAGAGTTTAAACGGAATGAAATTGATGAGACGAAATAGTATTGAACCCGAGATGTTAAATCCAATCGATGAACGTTGCGACTTGAGTTGTATAATTTTCTCAAAAATTAAATAGTTAATAGTCCACCATTATTACATATTACAACAGATTTTTTTTGATTGAGAGCTACTACGAAAACCTTCACAACTTCAGCAGAACAGGTGGGAGGTAGTGAGTTTAAGAGCTCAACGGAGAAGGCGAGGGACTCCCTATTGCTCGAGAGTTTATCACTATGAAGACCAGGGGGGTGCAACTCCCATACAAAGGAAAAGAACATTCAACTAGCGCCATCTTTAGGAACCGGCGAGGTCATTTTTGAAACGTTTTGGCCTTAATGAACTAATAAACTCACTAGATGGCAGATACGAGTTCTGACTCAATAAAAAATGTAGCGTACTTTGAAGCAGTGCTTCCACTTTTAGGGAATTCTCCCTTTTTTAGGGAAAANGCGATTCTAAACGATAAGATTTTTTCATAAAGAGAGTTATTAAAAATATTAAAATTACTAAAAAAGCCACCTGGTGGGGGGTAGGGAGACTAATAATCGACCGTAGCGACGCCTGCTGGACCGGGCTTTAACTAAAGCAAAAATAAAAATGAGAGTTGCGCATCTATCTCGAATATATTAAGTGTATAATCTATGATGAAGACATTCGACGTTAACGGTGGTTTGCTGCTATGTAGGCCAGGTTGGCCTAATAGGCAAGAGTAGGCACGGCTAGCCTAAGCAGTTCACTCTTTTTACAAACCATAGGGTAGAGGACTCCCGAAAATGAAAGCGGAATGATCACTGACAGTCTTTTTGTAGAGTCGGAAGATGTGGATCAACCAGAATGTTTACTTTCCAAAAACTGATTAAAGAAAAAAACGCTTGTAACTTGGCGCACATAAATAAAGTGAAACTTCTTTTTCGATGTGTAGTATTGTGGTTTTTTTCTTTTTTCATCCTTAAATCAGATTGCTCTTGTAATATTAGGGAATGCTGTGTATAATGCCGGCCACTCGTACCTTCGCGTAGTCTCCCACACATTCGTTTGCCCAGTTGCGTCGACGATTGCGAAGGTAACGGACGTATCGCCATTTTCATAGTTCGTGACGTCTACTGTGTAGCGTATCTTCATCAAAAGAAATCCCATAAAAACAGCATGGCTGTTAATGATGTTTGAGAAAGAATTCAAAACTCTTTTTCTCTTCAATGTTCTATTGACGCACAGTTGCCAGATGGGGGGGATCCCATGCAAATTCGGGGGGGTTTTCGACCTTGGGGGGGAAATTCGGGGGGAAAGATTCTTTCGGGGGACATTCGGGGGGAAAAAGTTAGTTGGGAGAAATTTCGGAGGTTTTTTGAGTATCAATTTGCAATAACTATTAGAATAATTATAGTCTACTATACTATTCACAAGTCAATATTATAAAGGACAAATTATGCAACCAAATAGCAATAGAAACTGCCGAAGCGGTTCTCAGGATTCGATTTTCACTGCCAAATAGATGCATAAATTTTGTTCCCACATCGGACATGTTAAATATCTTTAACTTCGAAAACGAGTATGCTTTAAATAATAATAACGANTCAATATTATAAAGGACAAATTATGCAACCAAATAGCAATAGAAACTGCCGAAGCGGTTCTCAGGATTCGATTTTCACTGCCAAATAGATGCATAAATTTTGTTCCCACATCGGACATGTTAAATATCTTTAACTTCGAAAACGAGTATGCTTTAAATAATAATAACGAAAGTGAATATGATCGTGATAATTGTTTAGAGACGGTTGAAGTTATAGGGATAGCTTGATTAAAAAATAAAAGAATCCTTTTGGTTTATTATTTCTTCTTTAAAATAAGTAAAAACTGTTTTGCGGGTTTTTTTCTTCAAAAAGCATATTTTCGGGGGGTTTTCGAAAAAAGTTGGGGGGAAATTCACACGGTCATCTGGCAACACTGTATTGACGAATTAAAAAGGAGGAGAAATTCGCGAGACATTCGTAAACAAGTGTAGGAGGAAGCGCAAACGGGTTCGCAAATTGAGTATGCGAACCCATTTGCACAGCTTCTAAGTTTGCGAATGAATGTCTGACGGCCCTTCACATGCGCGCAAACATTCGTACAATGTACGAATATTTGCCCGCATGTAAGTGGCCGGCATTAGACGAAGTTAACTGACGTTTACTGTGTTGTCAGTTTTTGATGAAATAAAAATAGTGTTGTGACAAAGTGAATGATTGAAAAAACTCCTGAATTAATGAAGTTGCCTCGATTGTCTAGTGAACAGTTAGTGTGCCGAACTGCCGATATTGGGTACGAGGTTCGAATTTTAGTCGTGCTTTGTACATACCGAGTTTTCGGTACGATTATGTTCCTATAGTATCTACCTATACTGAATACCGAGTGTTTTAAACATTAAGGAACACATTGCGAGGAAACTTGTAAGACTGTACTATTTTCAATACATCATATAGTTGAAACTATAGATGTATAAAATATAACAATTATAGGTAGGTAATGAAAAAAAATTTTTGATTGTCGTTACATACTACTAGTAACATATATTGGAGCACTTTAATACAATTTTATTGTAAAACAGAAATAATATTCTTTTATAGTTTAAAATGATTCACGTGATTGAACGAGAACTGAACGCATCACTATTATTTTAAATATAGCAACATTATTTTACAAAGTGACATCAGTGACTTAAAGGTCTTAGTTACCAGGTCATAAAATCTCTTAAAAAAAAAAGTGACATCAGGGATTTTTTGGCGGGAACGCGAGGAGTGAAGTTGTGTGATTTGTTTTATTTTTTCTATTTAGTGTTTCTTCGGGTTTAAATGTGTGATAATGGTGGTTTATTAACTGTTTAATATCTGTGAAAGTGCACAAATGTGGGAAAATGAAACAAAACCGCTGGACGTAACTTCTCGAGATCCTCCCAAAAGTCCACTGAAAAAATCTTAGTAAATGACCACCATTTTACTGAGATTATATTTCATCCCATTTCATTTCATTTAATTTCATCCCAGTTGATTAATGTCTTAAATTAGTCGTCTTCATCTCATTTCACTCCATAATATCATTTTTCATAAAAATATGAATATAAATTAAAATAAGACATGACTTAAAGGTCTCAGTTACCAGGTCATAAAATCCCTTAAAAAAAAAAGTGACTACAGCTGGCTTCGTTTAGTTAAAAATTAAAAATACGAACAAAAGTTATTAAACATGCACTAAACATGGTAAATAATCAAGAAAAACTATTGAGGTATTTAAAACAAATAGAAACACTTGCATCTGATATTCTTGTTGATAAAAATGAAATTGTAATGCTAGATAAACGAAGAAATAAAAATCGAGAAGCGTTAAGAGATCTTACTAAATCAAGTCAGAAGAAATATTGGCTCACGGTGGGATCAATACTCGTAAAGCATAAGTTTGAAGATACTAAAACTCTGCTGGAAGCCGATCAAAAACAATTAAATATTGACATAAACAAATTGAGGAGTGACCTGAAAATCAAAGTCAATACATTGAGAGATCTGGAAATGCAACCACCAGTTCCAGGCTTAATGTTAGTACCTCTGTCCCAGAAAGAAACTGAAGGATTAACAAAAAGTAATTTATTTTCTTTGTAATGGAAAAGTAAAATCAAAACTTAAAATAGTAACAGTATTTAATTTTGATTATTCAGAAATGGAGAATGCTACACTATTTTATTGAGGTAATAGGGGTTTCTGAAATTTTGCTGACTGTCATGTATTTAATGAGTAGACCATTATGAAAGTTCATGTCAGAAGGTAAAATTATAATAATATATTATTATGGGCATCCCTCGTATAACACAGTGCTTGTAAAACCCAGTTTTGACATTACACAGTACAAGAATTGAGAATAATCTATGATTGTTTTATTTTTACACAAGTTCAAAAATATAAATATATATTGGTTTTTTTTTATTTGCGTTTAAAAATGGAAATTTCAACTTTATTGCTATTACGAAATCTCCCATTTCATATTGAGAAATGTCAGAATGCATTTTGTTCATAGTAAATGAAATTGATAAAAGTTTTTGCTTTTGTTTTTAATATTTTGGAAAGTAGTGACAATTGAAAAAAAGTAAATAATACCTGTCTCCTACAAGTTTATATGTTCATAATGATTTCAAATTGTGGTCCATAAAAGATTTAAGTCAGAATTTTTATGGTCATTTTAATTTTGAACCTTTAAATTTAAATGTTTGACAAAATCAAGAAGCAAACGAAAGCTACTAAATATCAGTGTTACTTTTATTTTTAAATTTATATGATTCTTTTTCAAAATAAATGTGTAACATTAATAGAAGTATGCAAGTATAGAGGGTACAGTTAAGCACTACTGTCTTATCGGGGACAAATTGAATAAGTAGCAACACAACGGAAAAGCCACCAAAATACCACTCACATACCAAGTGGTATGATATGAATGTAGCAATTATAAATGGAAGAATGTGTGGTAAATAAAAAAAAAAAATAACTTTTGTTGTCATGTTTAAGATTACACCACTTACTATGGTACCACCTTGATTGCTCATACACTTTTATACCCAGACGGTGTTCCTTACCTTTGCCCCGTATAGTTGAATGGAGTACCATGAAGGTTAAACAGTTTTTGAGACAACAACACTTTTATTATGTCAGTGATAACATCATTAACTTTCTATGCGATGACCTATTGAATTAATTTAAATTAAGTAAGTATAGTGACTACATATTTTAAAAAATATTCAATTTTGTTTTTTCAATTAATCCACACCAACACCTAGTGTTGAACTGTGAATGGAGAACCATTTAGCCCACTGAGTTTCTCGCCGGATCTTCTCAGTGGGTCGCGTTTCCGATCCGGTGGTAGATTCTGCGAAGCACTGCTCTTGCTAGGGTCAGTGTTAGCAACACTCCGGTTGAGCCCCGCGAGCTCACCTACAAACGTTAGGGCGAAGCTGAAATAGCCTCTCAAGGCTATCAGCAAAAAAAAAAAAAAAAGGGAACCACTTCAACACACAAACAAAAAAATTCATTAAAATCGCTCTACTGTTTTAAGACTTCAGTGCAAAAGATAAATGAAAACTTTTTTGGAACCTCTGCAGTGGGACTTTGGTTCTCTGTATTTTGTAGCATATGTTCCATGGAGCACTTTGTTCTGAGGAATTGTTTGAGATGATCCCATCATCTTATTTTGGCCATCGCACCGCCCGCCCCGGGAGTAGAGTCCATCCATACTACCTAGAACTACTGCATTCATCCACAATGAGCTTCCCGAGATCTTTTTTGCCACCTACCATCCGGCTTTGGAGTAAGCTCCTCTCTACGGTGTTTCGCGAGCACCATCACATGTCCTTCTTCAAACGAGGCTTGTGGAGAGTACTTTACGGTAGGCAAGTGTTAGCTTTGCCCCTGGTATTGCTTACGTCCATGGGTGATGGTAACCACTCACCATCAGGTGGGCCGTATGCCCGTCTGCCTACAAGGGCAATAAAAACAAACATGAAGTATAGTGAAGTTATTTACGGCATAATTAAATCAACTATTTATTGCGGAGATTATTTATCTTAAGTCAACGTTGCAGGACGATCTTAGAGAAAGAAACACGCATATTATTGCATCCCAAAAGCATTTTAAAGACGAGCAGTAGAATCATGTGGAGAAAATACAAATAATTGTGTTAAAAAACACAAATTATGAATTTTTACCGACCAAGGACGCAAAACTTGTACTGTGCGTCATTTACAACTAGGTTTTCGTTCGCATTCTTACACTTCACGTAGTCGTAAGACTCTTGCTCAAGAATGTGTTATATATGGTAGAATAAAATATATCCTATATTCTTTCCCAGGGCTGTAATTATTTTCAAACCAAATTTTGTCAAAATTGGTTTGGTTGGGAACATTATTAGAGATGAAACGGATAGTTGTTTGGCCGGATACCGGATCTAACTTCACACGTGAAGCTCATGACACTTTTTGGGACTGTTTCAATGAAGTGGCAAAGGATAATAGTAGTGATTTTCGCGATCAAGAAAAACAAATACAAATACTGAATTACTATCCGATATCCGGCCGGATAGTGATAACATGGCCGGATACCGGCTAGTTGCCGGATATCCGTTTCATCTCTAGTGAAAATGTACCGAAAGGTTGCAAAGCTACAAATTTACAATATAATTTGCTATGTAACATCCAACATCCATAGGTTATAATCCAATCAAACTATAGTCGGATTTTTTATTAGACGAAGTTAACTGACGTTTACTGTGTTGTCAGTTTTTGATGAAATAAAAACAGTGTTGTGACAAAGTGAACGATTGAAAAAACTCCTGAATTAATGAAATTGCCTCGATTGTCTAGTGAATAAATAGTTGGTGTGCCGAATTGCCGATATCGGGTACGGGGTTCGAATTTTAGGCGTGCTTTGTACATACCAACGAGTTTTCGACGAAATATTATGTTCCTATAGTATCTACCTGTACTGAATACCGAGTGTTTTAAACATTAAGAAAAACATTGCGAGGAAGCTTGTAAGACTGTCCTATTTGCAATACAGTTTAAATTATACAAAAATANAACGAGTTTTCGACGAAATATTATGTTCCTATAGTATCTACCTGTACTGAATACCGAGTGTTTTAAACATTAAGAAAAACATTGCGAGGAAGCTTGTAAGACTGTCCTATTTGCAATACAGTTTAAATTATACAAAAATAACACAATAGTTGAAATTATAGATTATAGACGTATAAAATATAACAATTATGGGTAGGTAATGAAAATAAAAAAACTGATTGTAGTTACATACTACTAGTAACATATATTGGAGCACTTTAATACAATTTTATTGTAAAATATAAATAATATTCTTTTATAGTTTGAAATTAATGATTAACTCTTCATACTCATTGTTCATTCATGTGATTGAACGAGAACTGAACGCATCACTATTACTTTAAATATAGCAACATTATTTCACAAAGTGACATTAGCTACTGTCAGCTGGCTTCGTCTAATTAAAAATCCGACTATAGTGCTAGGACGTTTTGTATGTAAGTACGGTACTGTAAAAACGGAGACCTTACAACTCATGTCTCGAGGTGGGTGGCGCCATTTACGTTGTAGATGTTTATGGGCTCCGGTAACCACTTAACAACAGAGGGTCGTCCAACCAACTAAGCTAAAAATAATAATTTGTTTCGTAAGTACTATGATGAGCACAAATAAAATAGACGACAGGTAATAAAGAATTCTAAGAACAGCTGTTTTGAGTTTTTTTCAATGCTTAGATGTGTGAACTAGGTCACGGCCCACCCGGTGTTAAGTGGTTACCGGAGCCCATAGACACCTGCGGCGTAAGTGCCGTCACCCACCTCGAGGCATGAGTTCGTAGTTCTCAGTTTTAGCCGTTATACTAACGGCTGCCCCGCCCTTTAAAGCGAAACGCATTACTGCTTCACGACAGAAATAGGCAGAGTGGTAGTACCTACCCGTGCGGGCTGTTAAGATGTTCTATCACCAGTAATTACGCAAATTAGAATTTTGCGCATTACTTTTTTTATTATATGTTAATTTTTCACCGTGGAAATCAATCGTGAACAATTGTCAAGTACGCATTTGCACTGATTAGCACCGATGCATCGCTGATACGATTGCACCAGACAGACAGATAATTCCCTTGAAGTTTCAACGACTGTATATAATTTCATTAACAATGGGATCAAAATAACTTAGCAATGCACGCAAAATAAACATACAAACAGAGCTTTCTTTTACAGTTTTAGCTATCAAGAAATTACTTTATTGTCCATAAAAGGTAGAATTTTATTAAGGCCTATCTAACTAGGATCATGGGTATATATATGGGTAGCATCATCATCATCATCATCATCATCAGCCTTTATCTGCCCACTGCTGGACATAGGCCTTCCCCAATGCCTTCCACATAATGCGGTCCTCCGCCTTCCGCATCCAACGTTATATGGGTATAGTATTGCAATAAATAAAATATTAGAAATAAGTGACTTTTGTATTTATTGGGCTAAAGTGTCTTCAAATAAAAAAGTCCTCAAATATATCATTTCAATATGCACAGTTACATCTTTATACATGTAAATAATATAGTACATAACAAATAAATAATAAATAGTACCAAATTTTTAGGTTTCATCCATTAATAAAATGTTATCCAGTTTGGTGTGATAATTATGATACAATGTGACTTCACTTACCAATTTAAGAGTACGAAACTTACGTATTAAAAATTGTCGAATATTTATAATTTATTCTAATTGTTTGTCCAAATTAGTATCCCTCATTTTTCTTCGTACAAGATTTGTTTCATTTATATAGTTTATAAAACAACCTTTATGTTACCAAATTATAGTTATCAACACCCAACTAGCTTAAAATTACAAACAATTATAATATGGCATATATGAATTAATAGTTTGATTTGAAATACATTTCTTTTAGAAATAAACATTTGCAACATAATATAAAACTAAGCACATTAACTCACGTACGAATAATTGTCAATATCAAAACATTTATCCTAAAGATTATTGCTTACAGTACATGTTACTTAGTAGCTTGTAGTGAAATAATTATCAGTACAAAATGCCACAATTACCTAAACATAGGGGTCCTCAAATATATGAATTTAATATTTTATGAATTGTCTTTTTAGCATGTACAATCGATCTGTCACTTATCACAAGTCTTTGAATTTCACGTGGCCAAAGCGTATTTTTGATATATTGACTAAACTACTGGCATTTTAATTGTACAATACGAGCATGTTCGTACAGGACGCTGCGCATAAAAAATCACAGATCAAAGACGTTTGTCGTATTTCATTACTACCAGTTGGCCATTC